CAAGATTCCCTAATTCTTCGAAACTCCTCGTTCAGAAAAATACAGTTCCAATTTATTCTAAACCTTTAAGATCACACACCTTAACCAGCCTTTCTCTACTTCTTTATTAACACGTAGACTAATGTTGAGTTTAGAAAACAAATGAATGGTTACCTGATGCGGAAAATGCCTTTAAAGCCGGCTAATGCCACCACGGATACCAGCGACCTCCCTACCACCGTAGACTGGCGAACCAAAGGCTATGTCACTCCCGTGAAAAATCAGGTATTTTGTAACTTCTACTCACCATCTTTAATCTTCTAAACCCCCCCCCGAACAGAGCATACGTGTATGATGGACCAGCATGGAAGTCAAATCATCGTCACTGCGGTGATCTTTGTCACATTTTCACCATTGTCATCATCATCATTCTAATCATTCTGAACCTCGTTATCTTCACCTCACACCACGGTCACAGGCTTTGAATTCATCGGCATCATTTCAGTCAGCCTTGCTTTAACTTCAAAAAAGCTCTTAATTCTATTCTGGTCTCTTGTACATTGCCACAGCTGTCATCATTCCCTTTCGTGTTTTCTGTCCATCAGCTTCGGGCTTTGACGGAATTTTGTTGTGCAGACGAGTCTTGAATGTCATTGACAAGGTCTTGAGAAAAACCAGTTATAAGAGCCCAAACCCCTCCCCCCTTAAAGTGCAGCTTAGTTATTAGACCGATAGCGGCTAACTCTGAATACCCAAACTCGTCCTGATTCCGGCAGGGTCAGTGCGGGTCGTGCTGGGCCTTCAGTGCCACCGGTTCCCTGGAAGGTCAAACCTTCAAGAAGACCGGTAAACTGCCCAGTCTGAGCGAGCAGAACCTGGTGGACTGCGCCAGGAAATCCTCGTATGGTTGCCACGGCTGCGAAGGGGGCACTCTGCAAGGCGCGTTCCAGTACGTCATCGATAACATGGGAATCGATTCTGAAGCATCTTACCCGTACGAAGCTAAAGTAAGTGAGATACGAAATTTTATCGGAATTTCAGGGTTACGCTCAATATCGAGGTCAAAATGAGCATAACGGCAATGGCTGTCATCATTACAAGACGCTTTGTTTCCTAAACAGTCATTCTTTTCGTGAGCAATCATCCTCTCAATTAAAATTTTGATACAGCTGCAGGCTTCGGCAATAATATTGTAGTACATCACTCATGGTTTATGGATTGGTTGATTATTAGGATGACACGTGCCGCTTCAGTCGTGCCAGCGTGGCCGCTACGGACAGGATGTACACGAATCTCCCCAGCATGAACGAACAGGCTCTGCAGAGAGCGGTGGCCACCGTGGGACCAATCAGCGTCGCCATCGACGCCAGTCATATGTCCTTCCAGTTGTATCACTCAGGTATTTCAATATAGATTCCTGGTTGACTGGTTAGATGGCTCAAGTAAGGTCGATCAAGTAAACCCAGGGGTTTTCTGTGTGACGGGTTACAATTAATTCTGTGTCTTTCCTACAACCCAAATGTAGGTGTCTACGATGAGCCTAAATGCAGCCAGACTTCCCTCGACCACGGCGTACTGACCGTAGGTTATGGCGTAGAGGAGGGCAAAGACTATTGGCTGGTCAAGAACAGGTGGGTAGGAGGACACCCTCTTTATCGTGACTGACACGACTTTATGACTACTAGGAGAAATACCTTAGTTGCTTTCAAAGTGTTCTAGCAATCCATTAAGAGTGTAAGTTTTCAAGTGCAACCTCGTTCTCACTTTCTCTCCTTTTAGCTGGGGCGCAAACTGGGGAATGAAAGGCTACATCATGATGTCTCGCTGCAAGAACAACCAGTGTGGTATCGCAACCGACGCCGTCTACCCAACTGTCTAAACCAGTGAGCGAGCTCCCTTTTTTACCTGAAGAGGGGGACGTAAAGAGTTGCTCCAAGGATAAACTTTAACAGTTAAACCAATTTCGAATGATAGATTCATTAGAAATATCACGTCTTCATATCGACTCAGCATTAAACTTTAAAGTTTTCAACCTAAAAGAGCCTGGGTGGAATCCCCCTCCATTAACATTTTTCCCCGATATCGCTGCAATGCATTTTTAAGGCGTTGATCCTTTAAAAGTTTTAGAGTACCTCTTTACGGTCATTTTGACAACAATTTCGCGAAAAATCAGACAAACCGTTCTTGCGCAGTGCGCATTTTTCGGAGACGGGTCAGCCCCTCAAACATGTATACTCTTTCTACTGCATTGCTCATTTCACGCTGGCTGGCTCGCATGTAGCCATGAACGTCAAATGACCGTAACAGCAAAACCGTACGTTTGATCAAGTTCAGGCCTTGCATTTGTAATGATAAGGTGTGTCTTTACATGCATGCCAAGTTTCCAAACATTCTATATTTGTTGTTGCATTGCAGTACAACTGATTACAACCATTTTGCACCCAGTGATATCAGTATTACTCAGTGTACAGCTTAGTTTTTGACGCTTCGTTTCGCATAAATCTTTAGTTGTTGACGGTTCGAAAATGAAGTAAAAAGGACACTTGTACCGTTTAAAAGAGACAGTCTGGGCAGCCTTATTTTGTTTCGTGATCCTGTGTGTTGATTTTGTATTTTGGTTTGATTCAAATGATTCCAGTGGCCTGACGTGACTACTTACACCATCATACTGAAAGTCTTTGAAAAAGTATCTGAAAACCCACACAAACTTTTAAGAAGTTCTTCAAAGCTGATAAATTCTAATAAAATATGATTTCCTCAACATACATACCCAACCATACGTTGGCTAAAAAATTATTTCATGTTTTTTGGGTGCATTTTAAAAGATTTCATATTCACTTCAGAAAATCCTGCCAAAATCTAAATTTCATCGGAAGTTTAAAGTGGGTGAGAAAAACGAAGATTTTTGAAACAGAAAATGGGGACTTTGATAAAATTTCACTTTAATGAAATTTGAGGTCAAATATTGCTCCAGCAATTAGGCATTCTATAAAGTGCGTTCCATTAGGGGCCGTGCCTGGTTACGGCTTATCAACAATATCGTCGCGGCAGTTCTCATACCCTGAATGTCCTCTTCCTTTTCAATGCTTAATATTCCCAAGTGCATGCACCTTTGTGCAACGGAACAAAATTCACATTTTTGTACTCAGAAAGGAACAAGGAATCTTATGATATAGGTTTGAAGGTATCCCCTTCGAGTTCTGTATGTCAAAATAATGGATAAAATGGGATTGGTCCATTTACTGAAAAAAATGACCAGAAACGGAGAAAAGAGAAAAATTCTCACCGTTTGACATGCGATAACAACTTCGAGACTCTTTACTTTCTTCTTCGGTCAATAGATGTCAGCATTTTCCGACTTAACACTCAACAGAGGGCAGTATTCTTTGAGAAACAGTAGGCATACATTTCTTGCATGTGCGTTTCGACAACTCAAATTAGCCACGCTCGGCGGTCATGTCAATAGTCACGCTCTCAATATTCTTGATTTCTGTAATTATTTCGGTATGTCTTTGCCTTTCTGTCGTAATTTTATGAGAAGGAAGCTTAATAAACTAGTTGGAGTGACTCGAAGCCGAGATAGCTCTTTGAGACAGAGTAGCAATCCTCTAAAAAAACCACTTAGTGTTTGGCCAGAATAGGAAATGTTAATATCGCGGTACCTCTAACACTAACAGTGCTAAACATTTTCTATATTTAGGTATAATCATGTTCTGATTGCAAAGGCGCATCTAGACTGTAACTACAAAAGAAAAGTTCTGTAGGCTTTGGGAAGGAAAACACGTGTAAGTTGATATGAGAAACCACTTGTTTTGAAGTTGAACACACTTCCGGAATATCAACTTGCTTATGATTTAAGAGAGAGAGCTCAAATAAATTTGCCTATGATTATTCATACTTTATCAATGCAAATCTGTCTTGATATGTGAGATTTATAGAAATTCCAGCCTCAAACCTCTAGAACAAACCCGCTCTCAGACGCAGTATTACAGAAATACTGAGATTAGAAATACTTGATAATTCTCTTAATTACACATTAGATATCAGTAAATACTATGGAGATACAATCATGTTGCTTTGAGCTGCTTATTTTACTTGTTGTTTTGAAATAAAACTTGCCCCTTTTGAAAGATTAATTTAAACCGAAATAGGTAGGTCTAAATCAATCGAAGGTATTTTTTGCTAAACTTGTGTCAATCTGAATTTTACAAGGAACATGCGTGCGTCCTTAAGGGCCTTGATGGACAATCGCATTTCGTAATTTAGACTGTAGTGGTAGTCGTAAAAACTGAAAAGAAATTGTAAAAGTTAAAAATACGTTAAAAGATTAAAGTCTGCTGATTATCAACGTGTGCACAAAATTGTTGCTTTCCATAACCAGATAGCGCCACGGTGGTTTTTCTTGATTTCGTTTCCCCCTTGGTACTTAAAAACAATGCCACACCACGTGCGTGACGAGATGCAACCATGCAATTTAACAGCAACGCCCGTGGCACTTCAATTGTTTCAAAGTTTTATTTAAGCTATCAGAAAATAACGCACTCATTAAAACGTATCAACTGCAGAATGCCCTGAAACACAAGTTAAAAACATCAGATCAAACACTGACTAATACATGAAGAGACTTTAAGTCTAAAACGTCATCCAGTTCAATTTTAAAAAGTTACATTAAACATTTCCCTTTAACAGTGTGATTTTACAATTCACTAGATTTTAGTATCATGCATTTCATTTTTTTTAAGTCAAAGTCTGCCGTATAATAAGTTTAAACGCAGCAACGGTCAATATAATCTTGGAGAGTAAGGGGCAAGGAAGAAGTCTTGACGGAGGGACTGGTCTCATGGTACCGATTCGCGGGGTCGAGAGAGGGTGAGGCCGCAGTCAAAGGCCAGAACTGATTTGTCTAGGAATCGGCTGTAAAGCTTAAAGTACTACATGTAACGAAATACTCAGCGGGTTGACTGTAATCGGCATTGTGGCATACCAACATGTGGCTTGGTATTTTCACACCCTCCCCTTCTGTGATTGGTCGTCGCCCCGCCTTCCATCCTGGCTTCACTGTCCGTTAGACGCGCATTCCCTGCGGTAGGATATTCGGTAGAAGATTCTATAGGCAGCCTCATAACCCATTCTGCGATGCAAGCAAAATCACAAAAATAGCATCTCTTCTTGACATTATTCCAAATTTGCGCCAGCATACCAGTTTTGGGGTTGCCTCCTGTTTCGTATTGTTTTAAAGACTTAACCGACTCGACACCATAACTGCGGTAGCACTGCACCCACATGTATAGCTTGACGCGCGCGTGCATTTGGCAAATCGGGCAATGCCCTACTGGTCAAAGAAGCATGTGACACACGCACAGCACCTGTCCACGAGCGTCGCACAACCGCAGTAATGGCTTCTTGTACGGGCGATTCACAATAGTGCGCCTCCAGGAGTTTGCAGTGTGTGGACCAATCACAAAACGCGAAATCTGTCGACAACATGCGCGTTTGGAAAAGGTCAACAGATTTCGCGCGTTGTGATTGGTCGACGCGTTACAAACTCTTGGAGGCGCACTATTGTGAATCGTACGTATTCTGGTTGTCGAATTACACAACAGGAATTGAATTTGGAGACATTTTGATCGTCTACTGGTAAAAAATGAAAATAGGGATTATTGAATGGTTTACCTAGTCTGTGTACAAAGTAATGGTTGCCAGTAGCCACATCGCACCTTCACAGTCCGTGCAACCGGCTTGACGTAACTCCGCTGGTAAGTGACTAACGAAGTCCGTAATTTACAGTGGTGCCTCCTCCTATAAATTTTAAACACACCAACTAACAAACGGATTCAACCTTGAGTGTTTTTTTCCATGTTTTCATTTCAAATTTGACGCTGTGGTGTTGTGATCAACATCTTAACATGAGGTACTTCAGTTGGAGTGCGTTTCAATAGAACCCTGATATAAGTCCTCACAATGACAATTTATATATATTTTTTATTTATTCTTCCAACAGCGCATTTGGCGCCAATACGGGCGATTCACAATTGTGCGCCACCAAGACTTCCCAACGAGTTGTGATTGGCTAATGCGTCGCAGACTCTTGGGGGCGCACTATTGGGAATCGCCCTATTATATTACAGGACGAATCGACAGTTAAGAAGGCAATGAAGCAATGTACAATTTTAAAGGTGGGAGGAGAACCCGGATAAATATTCCTGGGGAAAACCCAGGAATCAGGCAGGGACTGAAAACCAACCCACATGCTGACCTAGACGGGATTCAAACCCGGTTCGCAGAGGTGGAAGGCGAGGAAAGACCCACTACACCAAATTGACTCCCCAAAATAATAAAATAATGTGTAAAAAATCTGTGTTTTGTGTTTTCATCATCTACCTGTACTAGCGCTGGGTAACACAGTTGACTCAGAGATATGTTTTTTTTTTTATGAGCGTAATCTTTTCGTGCCTTACCTACGAGATGGTCGAGTTCTTGCAAAATTTGAGGGCACTGGCGGGCTTGGCTGGTTCCCTCTGGATGCGTGATTTAAAGTTTTGGACCCTGTTGAGAATTGTGCAAAGGATGGTACCGGTGAAATACTGGCCACACTATTCATAGAGTTTAAAGGTATTGTAAATGAAATGTACGGTCATGACTGTGTCAGCTGAGAGTCGTTGATTTTAACATAATAAATTTAAAGATGGCCCATGCAGAGAAATACCTATGGGAAGAGAATGTATGTTGTTAAAAGACAGAGCTGGTTCAAGATCATACATTGTCATTTCGTGCTGAGAAATCAAGCTCTGATGACGCATGAGGGCGCCAGTCTAGATCGCCTAATGGCAGTTTGATCTGATTTCATTTTGTTTAAAAAAGCCCTGGATAAACGACACCAACTCCCGAGATCATTGGGAGATAGAGCCACCGGCGGCGGAGCAATTTTCGAAGGGGGGGGGGCAGTTGTTAGACCATCAGGCATCGGTCATTAATAGCTTAATCCATTGAGCTCCACCCAATTATAGGACTTGCAGAAAGTAGGGGGGGTGTAGTCCCCGGTCGAAAAAGTGGGAGGTCTCTCCCCCCCCCCGCTTCCGCCGCCAGTGGATAGAGCACCAGGCGAATCAGAAAAAAAAGGCCGGCAAAGCTCACGTACTACGTGTATTCTCAAATGATCGAAATCAAGCGCGCCCACTTGCGAAATTAAGTGCGCCCTCTGGCGTCATCAGATGTTTGTACTAATTTTTTGTCCTCACGTCTCTGACAGAAAGCTCCTCCAAATCCGGCGGGACACGTGCAACCGTCTGGGCCAGAACAGCGCCCTCCATTTCGGCAAGTTACGCGACAGTAAGCTAAGGAGGTAGGGTGGGGTGCGGAATAGATACAAGAGGGATGGGGAAGTAAAATAATTCGAAGCAGCTGTTCACAAATTGGAGTCGATTCCTTTCAGCTTCGATCCTCTATTTAGGAAGGGATTGAAAGGCTATGATCGGTTCAAATAAAGGAAAACGATGAACATTTATGGGGAAGTGTTAAAATCTCGTACAATCGTGCCAATTTGGCCAAACGTACATGTACAAGCAGTTTTGTTGGCCCATATAGTATCCAGCCTGTTTTTGTCATGAAAGCTTATCGGCAAGGTTTGTTGGACTCTACTTGATACATGATGTACATGTATGTCCACCTTTCTTCATATCAGACAGTCAATGGCTGCATCCGAATCTCTTGTCTAGAGCTAGGTCTAGGTCTTCACTCCATTAGAAATGCGTGGAGACGCGTAGACAATAGACCCAGCCGTAGCTCTGGAAGCCCGTTTCGGACATGGCCAATCTCTAATACGGGCGTGTCACAATACTGCGCCTCCAAAAGTTTGCAACGCGTTGGCAAATGACAATGCACGAAATCTGCAGACCCAATGCGCGTTTGGAAAGGGTCGACAGATTTTGCTCGTTGTAATTGGCCAACGCCTCTTGGAGGCGCACTACTGTGAATCTCGCGTATTCATTCACCATTCCAACTACTTGTTCCTCACCTGGGCGAGTGGTCGGTTAAATTGTCAATTAGTCGATTGATTAATAGATGGATGGTTGCTATTGCAGCACCAGTTTTTCATCTGTCTGTGTGTTTGTCTTTATATCCCGTCCTCTGGCTGCCTGAATAACTACATTTTTGCCTCGTTAATTGGTTCCTAGTTTCTGTTTTTTTGTGGCATCACACAAACAATAGCCATTTAATTTTGAAACATACACGGTTTTCACTTGATGTCATTCGAGCTGTCTTACCTATTTGACAAGTAGGCCCTCTGTAAGCGGGTGGACAGCGGCAGAATCCAGGTCGGACACACCTTCCTCCATTGGAACAAGCCGGTGCGCAGATTGCTAATAACGGGAATATAAAATTCATAGAGTGTCAGACAAAAATCTGTCTCGCAAGAAAGCGACAGATATTCACGCAGGTGAACTTAATATTACTTGATTGCAGCATTGAGATCAAACCGACCCCTGGTATAAAAACCGCTGGCTTGCAGCCGTTCGTGGTTAGCATATTATTTTTTTTACCTTTCGTCGGTTGAGACATGTTGACACATCCCTTCTGGTTGCGGCTTTCTTTGGTTTCATTTTTCTATTTTGTTCATTTTTCTCCCGCGTACAATCGACAACGGCTTCAATGGAATCGGGCAGACGGGGGAAAGGTTTGAGGTTTTCTTGAGCATTTAATTACCTAAAATATATTTATTACCTACATGACCAGGAACTTAATCGTAGAGAATGACGTCATGTCATCCTACCTTGCTCGCAGTAAGTTCCCTGGTATCCCAACCTACAAGAACACGTATTGGCGCCAATGCAGGTACCACCATTTTCGCACGGTCGACTGCAGGCAACTAATAAAGCCAGAAAGAAATCGACTTCAAAATCTGTAGGCGAATGATCCTCACTTATCAAAAAACTGTCAACAATATGGGGTTTCACAAAGCGCCTCCAAGAGACAGATGTCACACACTGTGATTGACCAGTCTCATGGGAGTTATAAGCTGCATCCGAATCTCTCGTCTAGAGCTAGGTCTAGGTCTTCGTTCCATCCGAAATGCGTGGAGACGCGTAGACAATAGACTTAGCCGTAGCTCTGGAAGCCCGTTTCGGGCACAGCCATATTTACATTTTGCCTCACCTCTCTCACAAAGTGAACCAGTGTACATAGACGAGCATGCACATTCGTTTGGTGCAACGCAGGTCCCGCCATTTTGACATCTCGGGTTGCAGACGGCTGTTTCAAGAAAGATAAAGTGCATCATAGTTTAATTGAAACAAAAATAGTATCAATTACGCTTATGACACACTGCGGCGCCAAGTACTGGCTTAGTAGAGTATGCATACAGGAAAAAATTAACAATTTAAATAAAATAACGAAATGGGCAACATTTGAACTCTGGTCTAGTTCGTAAGCTACTATGACGCAACATTCTGCTCTGATCAACCCCAGCGTGTAAATGAAGTTTTGACAGCTAGTGGAAAAGTCATAGGTGTCACATCTTTCCGGGCAGGAGAGCCAAGAATGATGAATCTGGGTCAACGACTCACGAGTGCATCTCGGTGGTGCAAAGCCGCTCGGGCACTGACAGTAGTTCTTGGCCACACATTGACCCCCGTTCTGACAGGGATGACTGCACAATTCTGGGGAGACAAGTAACAAATGGCTCAAGATAACCCACTTGCACAACTTGCAAACATTACGAAGGAAGCCCTTTAACTAGATAATGATGATAAATTTGGTGGCCTTGGCAATCCGAGTGACTTAAGGCTAAAAATTTACCGGGATGTTTTCTGTTTCGTCCATTTGGGACATGATACATACCTCGTAAAATTATGCCATAAATGGATTGTTAAATGACTTATATTTGTTCGTGCTGGGTCTTCACAAACATGTCAGAGAGGGCAAGTTTTGTCAGACAAATAAAACATGGAAACAACAGGACAGCTTTCACTTGCAACAGACATAACAGCTTCTCCCTTCAGAATCCAAAGATGCCCACACTTTACATAGACATCCCAAAATTGAAGGACAACAATGCCAAGCCTCAAACGAGGAATAAAATGTTCGATTTTACTCAGGGAATTCTCAAGGATCGTTTTCAACGGAACATTAACAAGCAAGGGGCAAAAATCACTTCGTGCTGAATTTTAAATTGATAATGCGTTACCAATTTCACAAGTATCTCCAAGGTAACCTGTAGGGCAGTTGCATTTTCTGTCCAGACCGCACACGCCACCATTCTTGCAGCTTGGGGTGCAGACATCTAAGGTGAAAAGGCCAAGAAGAATAAAGAAACGAATTTTTTATGGGGGGGGTGGATAAGTCTCCAGATGGAACTTCTTTAAGTAGATATTTATGCTGCTTGTGTGTGTATTTATTATTGTGTTATCGTTTTTGCTGTTGGTTTTTTTTCCTCTGGTTACCATAGCAGTGCCTCCTATGGCACCTCTGTCTCTCCACCACAGTCTTCTGGCCACTCTCGCATCCTGGCACTTCTTTGTTGTCATAGCAATAAGCCATCCTCATCTCAACCCCGTCCCCGCAAGTTCGGCTGCACATGCTCCACTCCGACCACTTCAGTGACGGTGCTGCCAAACACAAGGGAGGGAGTCGCAAACGTATGATAAAAAATCACGTGGAGGAAAGCTAGGCAATCAGCCTTTGGCAATACGGGCGATTCACAATATACAGTGCGCCACCACGAGGTTGTTGCTTTTGCGTAGTGCATTATGAAAAATGGTCGACAAGTTCCGTTTGCCGGCTACGTGCGGGGAACTTGAATCATTTCCGGTGTTTTCAGGGCAGTTTTAATTAATCCTCTCTGCTTTCTAAAGTATGGGATGTCCCAATCTATCAATATTCAGCAAGTTGTCTACTGAAATATGTTTAAATGCAAATCAAGCAAGGCGCTCATGTTCTGTGGACCTTAAACTTGAAAAATAGCATCTCTGTGGTAACATCTGGATGGCACACTGTATTATCAATCATCCCTTTTAAAATGGCAAGGACAGAGTTCATAATTCAATTAGTAGCTGTCGAGTGATTTGCTGAATTGGTTACTAAAGAGCCTTATACGGGTTCAAAACTCTTGCTTAGAGCACAATTCACGTTTTCCTCTTTCAATAATTCCCTCATAATTTCACATCAAAGAAAACCACAAATCTCTAAAGGGAGAAAAATTATTTCCAATTTCAACTATTTCTGTGCAATAATTCTGCACTTAGGAATTTCAAGTATGCTGGCCGGATGTCGACAAATTGTTATTCATGCGGACAAACGGCTCCAGTTTACGAGCGGTACTGATTAACGCTTTCCTGGATGGACAGCCACTTGGCATCTCAGCCCCAGTGACGGATGTTCAGACACCTACCCAATTAATGCTGCAAAGATGCTCCCGATAAGAGAATTTTCTCTCTTCCGCAAAGAACTTGACTTTCAGTGGAAAACATTATTTGGGTCAGACTTTATACTAATCCTCTCTTAGCTGCAAGTTTCTTCTTGAATTTCCTGTACTAATTTTTCTAGGTATGTATTTTTCAAAAGTTCTGACATCGCTCCTCTAAAACGCAGTAGATATCTTAACCTCGCATAAGAAGGGAAAACAAGTTTCGATGTTCAAATGATAATGTAGCGCTTCGTCTGCAAATTGACATCAAGGTACGTAACCCAGTTGCCATTTTGTTTTACTGTAAAAGTTACGAATGTCTGGTCACTTTATAAAAAATACCACGCACCTGTCGAGATAAGGTTTACTGAGGATACTGGGTCAATGTTACCAATACAAGCACTAATTAACATTAATAGACAAACAAGGAAAGGTACAGGAATACACAGCAAATAGCACAGACTCAGCAATGGGAGATACTTAAGAAAAAGTACAAAATTATGATCTCGTCGATTTCACCTTTGTGAATTTTGATGCTCACCTTTGCAGTCGCTTAGGTGACACGTCTGAGTCTGCGCCGTGATCCCCCGTCCAGTCTTACAGTCCAATAGTTTGGATCCCGGGCGACAGCGAGAGAAGCGATACCGAGTACCAGTGCCACACGTTCTGCTACACGTGCTCCACGTGGACCAGTTTTCTAAAACTAAAGCAACCGTAAATCTGTTTGCGACATGATTTCAAACTATTATACTTAATCGAGAACTTCAAGTTCTAAAGTGAACAGTTTCCACAAGTAATTCACAAGCCATTTCAACTGACCCAAAGCGCCTTTAGGCAAGGTGAGCGGAGGACTTCTTCGCAATCTTAAGGTTATGAACATTTCGAAATTTATTGAGTTTGATACCTGCTTTTATCTGCTTGATACTAATAACTAGTCTTTTTTAAGTAAGATGGGTTTCTATTACCTTCATTGTTCCGCCGAATCAAATCCACTTATTATGTAAAATAATCTGATATAACTTCTAACACTTCAAGGAGAGACCATTATCGACAGCCGCAGACAGCAGACAACGAGGCTTGACGAATACTAATGGCTCGATTAGCCCATCGTAAAATTAACGCAAAACGCGACAGCACGCAACTGGACCAGCCGAAGTTAAAGTTGTTATTATTGTTACTGATATTCATTATTATTATTAAAATAATTGAAAAGGCTGACAGTTATTGTTAGTACTACCAGTTAGTATTACAGATAAGGAGTGAGTAACGAGTAATGATTCGGTATGATTCGATTTGATTTCGATGATTTGGTTTCCATGCAATATGTTTGTTAATCTGTCAAATCAATGGGACGGTTACGCAGACGTACCCTACGCTGCAATTTTCCAGTTCTATAGTCGAGCACCGCTAGATCAATTGCGCCTAATTTCATCCATATGAAATCAGCGCTCAAATACAAAAATCTCGAAGTTCACCTGTGTATAGGCCCAAAGAAACGAATTTCACCAGTTTAACATTTAAATTAGGAAACGATAGCACTCCTGTGGGGAACCACAAACAAGGAATCGGCTGTCTTAACGTCACCTTCTCCGGCCTCTTCATCGCTTCCCGGTTCGGCATTGGGTAGCCGATGTCCAATTTCCCAGCTGTCCGGTCGGTGTGCACTCTCCAACCTCAACTTAATTGTTGGAGCTTTGGTGGGCTGTGTTGTCGTGGGAACAGTTGTGGGTCCTAGTGTGGGAAGTGTTGTTAGTAGTGCAGTGGGTCTTGTGGTGGGTACTGGTATTGCCACAGGTGTAGTCCTGAGAACTGACGTGGGTTCTGTTGTTGTAGTCGTTGTTTTTATGATGTGTGTAGTCGATTCAACTGTTTTCAGATCAGTCAACGTGGTTGTTGTTTCTAAAAATTCTTTCTCAGTGACAATATGTCCGGGTGACTCCTCATCGTAAGATCTCTTGGTTTCATGTTCAGTGTTACTTTCAGGTGTAGTTGACGGGAATGAGCCCGTGTCCCTCTCTGGCATGGGCAAAATGTCATTTCCGCTGTCAAATTTAATATCTATCGGCTCTTCCTCTATCGGGCTCGACGGATCGCCGCCGTAATTGGCCAGCGAATTTTCGAAAATTTCGACAACGAAGTCAAAATTATTTTCGTTGTACAACGGTGCTGCTGTGCTCGTCTGACCATCGGACAATCCTGGGGTGATGGGTGGAATCAACTCATGTTCTGGGGCCAGTTCGACGTCAGGTGCGCCTTGATTGGTGGATTCAACGATATCTTGGTGAAGGATGGGCGTGGTGGTTGGATCCTTTCTTGTGATTGGAGGATCTGGCTTTGGCAGTGCGCCAGGAATCGGGATCACAAGTGGAGTGTCCATACCTCCGTGGAGATCGCCAGTTATGTTCACGGAGGGCCAAACAGATTCTGCCAGGAACTTCAAAGATAAAGCAGTAACTTTAATTAACGTATCAGTATCTCATCAAAAAATAATGCTAACATCAGTTTCCTTATCTATTTTGGCTGCGGCTTGTTAGGACATTCTAAAGGTTTCATGTCTCGTGACACAACGAAATTCCTCACGCTATAGACAAAATTTCCTAAGGTATTCCACCTCTGAAAACGACCATTTGACAAAAGGCCAGTTATTATGATCGTTTCTAACAAACTATGAAGTTTGCTAATGACACATTGACTTGTGCAATTACCGGTTTTGAATAGGTATGCCACATGTGGAGATAAAATCGTTTGGGAAACACATACCGTTCCCACTGGGGCCGAACACTGTAAAGCTGCTGCATCCGGATCGGCAATAATAGCCAGCTGCTCAAGATCTCCCTGGGAACGAGGAATACATCAGTCACGATACAGAGAGATAATAGCTATGACTATTCAGTCAAATGTGTAAACATGAAGTGACATGATCTGATAGGTTAAAGATTTTCGTATGGTGGTCATCCAGCGTGTATACGGTCTCTGAGGTATGATTAGGGTCACAACTAAGGGTGTGTGTTTATGGTGGCTTGTGGGGTAGCAGAACAAAAGGATGTATTATTTGTTCACTGCCTAGCCTACCTCAAAGTACATGTCAATCATATTCGGCTTTGGATTCCCGATCGCGATATCCCCCGATCCGGATTGGACTCGGATCCCGCCCCCTTCCTCCTTCAAGTCCACCTGGTACTCCTTGGTGCAATCGGCGTACAAGGTAACGGACTTCTTTCTCACGCTAAATGCTAGCACGTTCCACTTCCTCTTCAGCACCGTGTACTCCCCGAAACTGACGGCGTCGGGCCGGACCTTTCCGGTGGCCTGGTCGCGCCGGCTGTAGACCAGGGCCGGGGAGGAGCTGAGCTGCACGCCGAGCTGTACCCCGCCGTCTGGCCCCATCACCAGCATAGCGTACAGGTAACCGTTCTGCTGGCTAGAGAAGTACCGCGGAGGCTTGACCACCAGGAGGATGGAGAACTCCTCCGGGAAACCTTCGGGGTAGACAGTCGAGATAGGCAGCTTCAAGATGGCATTGGAGGAGATGTGGTACGCCCTCCTTCGGGGAGACCTTCGCACACCGGGTGGAAAAGTCGATAGGGACATTAACTGCAGAAGATCTTTCACATCTGCCAATAGAAGAAAACAGAAAGATACGTTTATGTTAAAAACGCATAATTGATATTAAGTTACAAATAAACTCGATAGTTTCGGCTTACAATTAGTTCATAGTTGCTCAAGCTGAGAAGAGACAGAAATGTGAAAGCAGGCCTATATCTTTCATTGTTACATGACCTATGACTCTTCAGTGCTATTGGTGCATCGCACTTTTTCAGCCCATTCAGGAGAAAGTTAATGTGTGTTTTGCAGTGCAAATTACTTATTCGTTGTTTAATTGCCAATTATTTCGCAAGAAGCTTCATTCTGCTTTGGAGGTGAAAACAGCTCAGTGATTGAATGCGTTGATAACCTCGGCAAGAATTTTGAATATTTTCATATCACAGCACATCATCAATTGCGCCAGACTTGAGCGCAGAATGTAATACCCGTGTGTTACTGCCAGAGTCTGCAGTGCCCCTTATGTTGACCTCTGCAGAGCTGCAAATCTTTCAAGAAATCGAAGCCGCATCGCCCTCTGATTATATCCAAGACTAAGAATAGCTTTTTAAGACCAACTGAGGGGAGGTTTGAATCTGTCATTAGCTGGGCAGATAGAGGAAGACTTATGATACGAGGCATTCCGTAGCGCATGCCGATGGGCAGGAGTTGTGTACACGGCCTCCCCAAGTCGATACAATTCATTTCTCATCTGGTTTCCGATTTCCTCGGGTTGAGTCATAGATACATAAACATGCCACGAGATTGTCATTTTTTTCGGAATGGTCAGTCGGTAACGTTCGCATGTGGTGGTGATAGCCACGCTTGAGGTCTAATCAAGGTTCTGTTTGATTCTATTCACGGACTGTGTCAATTTCTTGAGAAATATTTAGCATAATGCACCGTACTAACGTTGCAACAACTCCATTTAAGAACCCCCCACGTAACGTTGGCTTGGGTGGCGCCATCATATGTCATATCATATGTTTCGGTTCTCCCGTAGCAGACATAATACATCAATAAAATCCTAAAAAGCTCATAACTGTGTCTCATTGGATGCTGTAGGATTAACCTGCGGCTAGTTTTCCTGTTCATGGTAGCGCCATTCAGTTATTACAGTACATCAGACAATCGCTGTCTTGGTCCTTCAATAAAACTTACATTCAGTATGAGAAAAGATAGTTCTACGTGTGATTGAGCACAAGGTTACCAAGTACATCTAGTGCAACCATCCACAAGGAGCCTGGCAACGTGACAGGGTCATACCTTGGCATTTGAAGCTGTTACAATGCCGTCTCTGCTCTGCTGCGCCTTCGCAGGCGTCTGGCACGTCTTGCACGCACATACGGCGCCTAAGCTGTACGCCATCCCCGCAGGTGACCGGGCAAGGCGTCCAAGACGCCCAGTCTCGCCATCCTAGGTGTAAAAAGACATGAAAAGTAGCCAGTTTAGCATTTCCTGCGGTATTTCGCAGATCTTAGCGACGATCAATGACTTACACAAGAACATCTGAATTTGATTCATTGCTATACATTACCGATTACGCATCATTCACTTTTGGTACCAACACGCTCGTGTATACCAAGTTTTATACCGGGAAATTCACAGCATTGTTCAACGTGTGAGGCACAGCATTAATCCCATCATATTCAGGGAATCTGATAAGGATATTGATATGGATAGCCACTTTGACCGGATCAAAGGATGCCTTCCAGCGGGGACATCGAGCAGAAAGCACGGTGCTCCCATATAAAACAGAAGTGGCAACCATAAATTATTTGGTGACGACAATTTGTCTTTATGCCTGACTCTGTTTTTCCTTTGCATGGTGTGTCAAAAGGATTTGCATTTCTGTGTGGTCCTACAGATTGACACTGTCCTGAGTCGTTTCTTTTTATATTTCTCTATCGCTTTTGCGTATGACTCACATCTACTATGAATAAAACAGCTAAAGAAAACACGCGTTTAAGACTCACACAGTTACAAAAAAGTCCTTTGATAGTGAGTTGGTTAAATTCGAATTTTACTATTTTCTCATTCGTCGCATCTCCAATAAATCCCCTTATGAAGCCCACCTTCACCGTACGGTTGTTGGTGGCAACGCTCAACTACGCGCTAAAACTGTTTTTGTTTTGAAGCCGGAAGTTTCACAAATTTTACGGGTGACTCACGGTATTTGGGCGCTCAAGTCAAGGCACTTTTGTTCATTTAATTCCCCAAACAGGCTTACCTATTGAAAGTGCAACAGGTGAGTCGTTCTCGGTTTGAGACCCTCAGGAAATATAATAATAATGAGTCCACTAAAAGATGTTAAAAATAAACATGCCGTTTTCTCTGCAGCCGTGAGAGGACTTTTAAAAACGGGTCAAGTTTGGAATAAATTGCGATCACTTGTCGAGTCGATGGCACCCATGGCCCATTAGCGCCCTTTAGCAAACACCGTGGCGACCCCTTACCCCCCTGAGGCCAAGGCCACGTCAACATCTCCGAAGTGAATGATTAAAAAAGAGAGGAAAATGTTGAGGTTTCTTGACATCAGATTAGGCTCGCTTGCCCCCCTGGGAAGTTCGCAAAACCCCGAGAGCTTATGCTATTAGTATTAGGGATCCATACGCTGGTGTGTTACCCACACGCTCGTCCTGCCTTATTCGTTTCATCCTCAGTAAATGAGGATTCTCCGGGCCAAGGGAAGAGGTCGAATTTTGTCATAGCAAAAAAAAAAAAAAAAAAAGCTAGAAAGGCGACATAATCTGATGCTTTGATCAGGATGAAATATCTGGTCCAAGAAGTACATTAATCAATCAATAAAAAGAATCCGTCAAATGGAAAAGTTCTCAAAAGATTTGTCAAGTAACAATTCGAAAAATCCCCTGGAAAGCCTCTAAGTCTGTTGGGCCTCTGCCAAGTACAGATAATCATAAGTTCCTACAACTCCAAAAGGAAACCATTTGTAAACGTTTAGTGTAACCATTAAGACGGCCATTCCTCTAGAATTTCATTTAATTGAAACACGACATAAAAGTAACATGTACTAGTTTTGCCACCAGTAGTTTATTAACGTTCAATCTTCGATCCAGTACAATAAAGCGAAATCCGAATGCCTCAATTCGGACTGTCTTCCCTACTTTTTAAAGGCACTGTACAGCTATACCTCAGACGAAATGTTTCGGTAACGAAAAAGCTGATTACCCAATTGATTCTGCATAGCCCTTTGCTGCATTTCAACATTTCCAACAAATAACGAGCACTCCACGCTACCCGACCCCTCAACCTCACCGTTTATTTATCATGGCGAGAACTGACATGACCAAAGCTATACAAACTACTCTCCTAATGACGCAGAAAGGTATGATGAAAATGTGACATTATGCGCGATGTCAACGACATTGCACAATTAGACCAGGCGGGCTTGGAGTACGTGGTTCAAAAGACAAGAGCATTAAAAGCTTCAAAAAACCGTCTGTTTTTTTCCTCGTGGTTTGTGCGAAATCATAACTAAATCAATGTGAGATATCGGAATGATCTGAACGATTTGATCCACGTACTTTACTCGTCTTCTTTTGGAGCTATTTCCCACTCAAAATGGTTTCTTTAAATGGTTTTTGCTTAATTTAGATGTAAGCAGATATGCCCAAGCGGACAAGATCCCCGGGATACCATAAATCCATACCAGTTGCCTTGGAACCCGTTAACACACCAGTCGTTGTCCAGTACTTTAATAAACTGCACTTTGTATGCAATAATTCAACCAATAAATACATGGACGTGTACCATAGTTCTCTCTGTACAATGGCCGTAATCCACAAGCAAAGCGTGATTTATTACGGGGGCGCTGGGACAAATCTGCAGAGCGCTTGACCTTTAGCAGGTGTAAGTCCTCCATTCTTTAGCTGTTTAGAGGTGTAAATTCATCCAAACCACTGACAAAACTAGGTCTTTTTTTCAAGGGCAAAAGACTTAATTGTCCGAAATTCATCCAATCAATTAATGACGTAGTCTATAGCTTACAGTAGGGTACATTTCCTGTATCTTTCCGCCATACTGTCTTTCCCTCTCATGAAAATCTCACAATACTACTACGAATTATACAAGGTAAAACATGTACAGTGTTAAACGCAAATTAACAAGGTTGCACCCTACTTACGACTCGTATGCATTAGCAGTGGCAGCCAAACATTTATCTTTATAATTGACTTCTTTTCCATTTCTTTTGACAAATCACCAAGCTTCTGGTAAAAGAAGCAGGCATAATGCTGAACATACCTCAGGGAATTCAGGGATAATTTAATTTCCTTAACTACAACTTATCACTATTCCGCCTCGAATTTAAATCTGAAACTCGCTGCTCTTTGCAAAGAAACATAGATGAAATCCTTAACTTTAATTGGAGGATATTCTAGAGAAATCTACCAGAGGAAATTCTTCTAATGAAGAACAAATATCCAGATCTCATCATTTAACAAAGTAATCCCCCATATCGGAGATGGAAATAATGCTTTAGGGGAAAAAGCCACTACAGAGTTTCAAAGCAGCGTAACGTATCTTGCCCAGAGATTAAAGGAAATGTGCATCGGATATTCAGCTCAACTTGTTTTTCGCACATATTTCTCTTTTTTACAACAACACAAACAAAATCTAAATTTTTTTTTAACTGGAAGTGAAAAGAAGGTGATAGTTTTTCAATTCTTAGACAATACTCTCATCAACGTATGCAGGAGGGCGCTATTTTGATGTGGTCATAGAGGGCGCTCCTTGACAAAAGAGCTCAAGAACAGTCAGTCTCAAAATCATCCCCTAACAATAGTGTGAAGAATATGGACCACCGGTATTGTTAAAACAAGCTGTTTCATTAACAACGATAACAACAACAAAGAGGAACCTGCCTTCTCCTCCCAAAAAAGAAAATGTAGGAAATAATGGTATATTAAACTGTGCACAAAGCTATGGAGGCACTCATCCTGGCTTATTCTGGCTAGGTAAAATCATTGACATCACACTTTGGCTCATGAATATGGGAAAAAATCAGTATAAAATTCAGACTGTTGAGATTTCTCCCTTTTACAGCTGTAAAGGAGGTTTAAAATCATTATAACATGTAAATAAATCTGTGCTTCATATATCAATCATAAAAATCCTACAGAGCATATTAGACATCCCTCTAAAGACAGATTAGACCCACGCTCACTTTTCTCCATCCACCTATTGTGAAGGGCTGTTGAGGGCGTTATACATATACTTGGAAATAATTTCGTGCCTTTTTAATCTCCTAGGAATGACGCACATACCGGAAAGAACAGATACAATGTATTTTACCATAGAATAGCACCCTTGCCAGCCTAAAGCTAACAACTTTGTCTTCTTGATCGGCGAGAGACAAGTAAACAAACAAACGAAGAAACAAACATCTACTCTGGGAAACCTTTGAGTCCACCCATCTTTGACAATGAGTTTTGCGGTGGCCATTTTGAAGCTATATCGTAAAAATACGACGAAACAATACCTCTAATTGTGGGTGACGGAATAGACCTCCGTGCTCTGTCAACATGGCGGCCGGGTCGATGTCAAACACTGCAACACAATTCTGTCAGAGTCGGCAGCATAATCGAGATATTCCCGGCGAAGTGAAGAGCTGCACTGCGTTGGCCTGCACTCTTGGTGAACCCACTTAGTGTTTGCCTTCGATTATCAAATTATTGACAGCGAATCTGACAGCTATCAGATGTGTTTATAGTATACGTGGCGCGGCTTCTGTTTCCAAAGACTTCCTATGTACGGTCGGGGCTTGCTTTCAGCAGTTTGGGACCGTCGTACGGCTCCTTTCTGGCACAAAAGTGACCACATTCACGATTCCATGGTAGACCGTCTACCAGCCATGCCACCACAAGGAGTGCGCAAAATGGTGGCTTAATTCTTTTGAATTATGGCACCCGGAGGAATTTCGGGTCAGTCTGTTGTAAATAGACATCATTTTGTTTCAGGCAGAAATTGAATAACTTTCCTAGACCAAGAAGATCCCGATCTGGCCTACTCGTGCAAAATTGGAAACAGCTGAGTGAAAATGTATACGTGAGTGAATTTCGCCCATATTAAAGGCGCGCTACAAATGCATGAGTTCTAATGCAAAAATCACAAAGACGTACATGTAGATGAAAGCTTCTGTTTCATATCCAAGTATCGAATTATAAATGGATTTGGGTAAAATATGGAATCAGCATTGAAACTCTTCTGAAGTTGCGGCGCAATGCAATTGAAAAGAAGAAAAAGCACCTTCAGGCTTGGAATAATCTTGGGGCGGTATTTAACTGTGAAAGCTTTCGTATTTAACGATGTTACCGGACGTGAAAATTCGTCCACTACATTGCATGAGCAGAAACGTGCCCAAACTTGGTATTGAGGCTCCCTGAGTAAAGCACTAAGAGCAAAGCAGCGCGTCCGACATGGTGAGCCCCTACCAGAGACCGTCCCGTGAAGCCGGACCAAGGAACCCGCCGGGCGCCCGGTGATGTCGGCTCTCGGCGCAGCTGGTCGTGCACCTTGACTTAAATTCCAACGCTGATGCCTCCCAATTTAATCCCGTGGGATGTCGAGCAAATAATGACTTAGTTCACGCGGTGTTGGCTGATGCTCTGGTGCCGTCGTGTGACAGCTGCTGAGGGCATTTCGCTCTGGCCCTCATCCAGATTATTTAATGTTGATGTACTATAAATCGGCGACACAGCTCTAGCCATCTGAGATGCGACATTAAAGGCAACTTAAGGTCGTCCGCAGAGCAACTTTAATACAAGTCCCTCCAAAATTAAAGAATATATAGGTGAAAGAATTGCACTTTTGTTTTCATGAACACCTTAAAGAAAATAAACTGAGCATGAACTAAGAAGAAGAAATCAAGTGGTAATTCCTATTTCGAAAGCCTAAAAAAAAAAAACGAAAGAGAAGCCACGATAACAGTGTAGCGTAAAATCGTTGCACAGAAATCTGGGGTAAACTCACTTAAATGTGTGAGAAATCAATAACTGCCATCTTCATGTCGACCTGTGGGATTCGAACAGCGCATCACAAAAGATGGAAGGCAGAGAAAGTTGCACTGTGCCAACCTAGCTACCAGGAGAAGCTACTTTAAAGTTTACGGGCATTGCCGACAGGTATTCTGAATTAAAACGAATCCAAAAACGTAGATATTGTTCATTTATCGCCGAGATCAACTGAAGAAGATTTGGACGGCTTGAACATTTTCAGGAATTCATTTCTGCTGTAAGGGACAGTAAATCTGGACCAAGTTACTGATGAACGGAACAGGAAGAAGTGTCATTCTTTAGCATTGGTACTTATTATTTGCGTTTGACGGGACATCCGAATAACCAGTCACTTTGTTGGTTACTATTATTAATGCAGACCGGACACAGAGACATTGTTTCCATCTTCTTCAAATACCAACCGAACACACAATTTCCTTCGATATCTCAGGGGTTAAGTGAGGTTGCTTCCTGGCCACATCACTGGAGTTTTGTGAGTTCAGCAAATCAGGAAGGTAGTTCTCTGTTTGCCTTCAAGCCGTGTTTTGCCCGCTGTGTGTCGTCCCCTGTGTAGAGTCGAGTATGTAACGGATTCGAGGTGTCCGTATCCGTGACAATGCCGATAAAATTGACCCGTACCCACGGGATCAGAGTCGCCCTGGGGGCAATGAAAGAGGATTTGGCGGTCAGCATCGGGCAACGAGAACTGTCTGTAATGTCGTTGTGTCTGGCAACTGTACATGTACTTCAGTTAGTTTTTGTCATGCATGGTGTGTCGCATTTGGAAAGCGTCAGGCTTTGACCTACAACAGAAGAATTTTTTTCTGTGAATGGAAACGAAGCCCCTTGCTGACAAGCCTGTCGTGACTGAAAGAAATATCATAGTTGTTGGCGGACCTTTCATAACTTTGCGTTGTTTACTCAAGTGTTTCCAAAATTTCTCCATTGCTTTGATTTCCGTTTCATTTTTATTTTTCACACGCGTCAAATTACTCACATTTTAAGCATGATCTCTGTCAAAGTCGGGTTTGAAGGACGGCGTGCTCTGTTAACAACTCCAGCACCTGTGACGTTTGTCTGACTGCGGGCGGTCAACATTGAACCTAACACTAACTGGTGGTCGGAATGTCCCGCATGAGCTACCGTCGATTCCTGCTGTTCATCAATTTAATGAAAAAGAGAGAGCGGTGTTTGATGAGGCATCAAATGTGAGAATCAGCGCAAGTGTTCGGCAGATAGGAAGCTAATACTTTCGTGGAATGGAGTCTTGGGTAGATTGCCAACAAATCCATGGTGTGGTGTGGCGTGTCAATCAGACGGCAGTTCAATGCCGTGAGAAGCTAGGTGACTACATGCCGCGACGACATGTTAAAGTCAGGCAAGGCGAGACTCCCCTGCCAAGTACAGTCGCCGTTTGCATCCGGAGGGCGAACTGCGCCTCGAGGTGACATCAGTTAGTTGGATGTGACGGGCCGTGCAACATGTAGTCTCCAGACCACGGCTTCGCAAGTTTTAAAAAGAAGGTGATTCATTAACGAAAAAAGAAGTCAGTCTTTGGCACTGCGACCTGGACCTCGAGACATCAAGATCACGTCGCGACTCTCTTTGGAAAACAAAAACAAACAACAACAACAACAACAAACACTTCAGGGGGAAGTGATAAATTAGATTGGGAATTATCTGCGATCTTGAGGGGCAAATTTTGAGGTCATGAACGTTCTCTGAGAAATGGGAGCTTTTTGAATTTACGATTAAAAAACAAGGCTGTTTATCATGAAACTAAGTATTACGGTGTGCTGCATGCTGAAGATATAAACAGTGTGGGTGTGTGTGGGGGGACTAGTTCTGTCGTCAACGAAAGGCCACGGTCACATGAGAATTTTCAATGGGTCCAATCAATTCCCTCCTTTCCCTTTTTTTTCTAGATATGTCAGGAATTCGGAAAAATTGAAATGCCCGGGACACGAGAGAACACCGTGATGCTCTTAGCAGATGTCCATATCCAGTGGAATTCGATAGTTAAGAGAGCCCCAAATTTCAAGGCTGAAAGCCAAACTTATACCAGAGAAAGGAAGTTCCCAAGGAACCTCACCGGGACAGACAGAACGCCAACAGCCGGTCTGCCCCACAGAAGAAAGAAAGCTGTTGTCCGAATTTGACATCTTGATTACTTTCCGGTGACTGTCTTATAATGAATGCAAAGTTCGGTTCCCTTTTATAAAACAGGCCGAAACAGGTGTTACCAAAGTCAACTAAACGGGCAATGGGCAATTTTGCCTACACTTGTGCTGCACGTTGGTCCAAAATGATCAACCGCCTAACGTATGAGTGAAATCTCCCCCCCCCCAAATGGTAAAATTCAACCATCGATCGAGGTGACCTCGTCGGGTAAAAGGACACTGTCAGATATGATCTTGTCGTGACAACTAATTTTTACATTCACTCAAGAGAAAAAGAGAGAAAGGTGTCTCCAACTCCCTGTGGCAAATGATGACCCAGAATTCTTACACATTCCCAACTACAGGAGACAGAACATACATGTACATTAGGGCATTTCCATACCTGAGAGGGCCTTGGAACATTACCTGAAGCCCCAAGAGCTGATATTCCCGGTGCTGGTGATGGCACAGTGCTCATTTTACACAAAATAGCTTAATCGGCTAACTCACTACTCAGTCCCCCTAAAGACTCTGGAGTCACGCCCACCTTCCTCAAATCAAATGAAATGTCTTCCCATGACTCAGTATTCCCGACAAATGTAAGTGGTTCTCATTTTGTTGATAGTATTTCAGGTATAAACAATAACTTTACAACTTTCAAACAGGTGACAGGAAAAAATAAAGTCAGGTGAAATTGTTTTATCTGTACTCACCAACAACTCTATGCACCTTTTTCTCTTGTTCGTCGTCAAATTCCACGGCCGCTCCGAAGATGTCATCGTACCTTGCAATCAATCTCATACCGTCTGTCTCTCGCCCGCTCGTCATGGGGACAGCGGTCAAAAACATGATGTACTTCTCGTTGGGCTGCACCTCGGCACGGCATCTGTCCCGTGACCCGAAGCCCTCGATCAGGTACACCTTCGCGGGCCCGTCTGCCTCCTCGCCAGTCAGAGAGGAGACTTTATGGAAGTACGGGTAGCCCTTGTAGACCTCGTTGACGGCGACCTCGGCCGAGTAGACACCGCTGCCGCCGGGCGGTGTCAGGGCGTGGTCCCGCAGTCTCAGCACCGTGCCGGAGATCACCACCGGGGCTAGGACGGTGCGGTTCTCGAGCGATTTGGGTCTCCAGTCTCCGTTCATCATGACGCAAGCCTCAACTGGGATGACACGGAGAGTGCAAATCGTGCACACAATCCAAGCAATAAATACAGTCCCAAGTGCCCAAATCATCTCCGTTTAATGTGCTCAGCCTTGGTTTTCTAAATATCAATTTATTCCCTAAAATTTACACAGAATATTATCCAATCAATCCAGAAAATAGGCAGTTTTAATTCTCGCGTGCGACATCTGATGGTGATTGAATCAAACTATACTTTCATGATTCGATTTGAAAGAACCCTCGTGACAAGATACATCTCCACCATCCCCGAGACGCCACAGAATTGTCGCTACGCACGGCTGGCGTTCGCCTGGTCGGGCACAGCTAGAGAAGTCTGCTCCCTCCAAGAATCGGCAATTAGTTTTATACAGATGCAGAGCAGAGTAGCGAGGAAACCTCCACCGGAAGAAATGACAAGGCAACGGCTGCAGGATTTACTCCGCAAGCCTGGGACTTGTACAACGCAGGCAAAGGATTAAAACTCGGTCGCCTGTGAAGCTGTGAAGCTGCAGGACACAAGGGCTGGTATCTGTTAGTGCGTGCACGCCAGCGTGCAGTGTATACCATTTCTTTTCCACGCCGATTTCTTCCAAGTGCAGCTCTGACACGTCAAGTCTACACGTTCGCGGATGGATTAGCGCAACGCTAGTTCTTATTCATAATGTCCTCCCGAAGAAACCTGACGTCACGTCACGACAGCAGCATCGCCCGTGTCACTGCGTACATGCACTTCCCGCCCACACGACCAGGTTTTGACTCCCAGAAAAAAACACACATGCACCCCCCCATAACACACCAGTCCCCAAAACAACCCCTCGCACGCGGGGGGGGGCGTGTTTCGTAAGTCAATCCCCTCACACAATATCCTTAAGCTGAACAATATTTGAAAGCTTTTAGCCTGAGATATGTCAATCCCGTAAGGGCAAGAGAGCATCTTTTTGTCCCCTCATTGCAAAGGCGACACAGAGGTGTGAAAAAACAGGGAGTGAAGCTGTAACCACAGAGGAAGGACGGCGTACATGCACGCAGGATACTGAGTGGAAAGCCCCATTTATTACCGAGGACGAGTTCCAGACAGCTACGAACCTCAAGCCGCGCGCTCAGCGATGAACTTTGACCCTTTTCTATTACTTTCTGTATATCGCTAAAAATCACAAAACTGGGTAGTATTACACATAGTTTACAACCCTCTGGCCGAGGGGAGGCGGGTTCATGGAGAAGTGTTTAGTATGAAGGTTCAAGGAACTGAAGTGCCATAAACTTGTTCGGGCCCCTTTCAACAAACTACATTATAATGTAAACTTGGTTTTCATTTGAATAGGCCCAGGCCTGATAGTACCAATGTAAAAAGCTTCAAAACTACATGAATTTTCTACAGTCATGATTTTTATTAGTATCAGTACATAATCATCCTGGAAAATTCAACATTGCCCCCCCCCACAAATATCCAAGTTCGTCATTTTGACATCCAAAATGCGAAAAATGCTGAATTAAACACTGCGGCCGCAGACCTATTTCTGCAATGAGAATAGCTCGTCATCGAAGTGCTAAGAAAAAGTGTCATGAATCACTGTGGAGTTGTTAAACATAACACAAGCCCCTGTACATTCGCATGTGACACGGTCTATGGTCACCTGTCAATGTCATCATCATTGGATCCATCTTACACTAACGATTACCTTGACTTGCTCCCCCATCAGCTTAACGATCCTGACAATGTAAGTTAAGTTGTATCACGCCTTTCCAATCATGCGTTGCTGTAATGCCTTTTTTCAGGTGACAGATCGGTATTTCCTCGGAATAGGTTCAGTTTGAGGTTGTGTGCTACAACATTTGCCCACGTCTTGTTGTTCCGGAAGGAGCGACTGCGTAATGTCAGGTAATGAAACGATAAACAGCTGATACGAATGCTGGCTATATACGGAGACCTTTGACCCCTGTGTAATCTGAAGGGCATCTTCCCAGCTGAAGCCAGCGGGATTCCTGGTTGCCACGGGGACCTCTTGTAACCATGGTTTCTAAAACCAATCCTGTCCAATCTAGAGGTTTATTGACATGATAAACTTTATGTTGTACTATTTATTCTCATTTGTTGATAAATTACATGGTTAAGCCTATTAAGAAAAATAATAAACGCTTTTGTATTGGCCCACGCTTATGAATCAGCGCGGTTTTCTTATTTGAAACAAAATCAAAGTTCTCACTCCCCATTTGTCAAACAAGTGTTGCTATAACATCAACTGCCGTCCCTTTGTTAGGAAAGTGATCATTCATTCTTGTTCCCAATTCCACCACATGTTGTTTTAAACCTTCTTCTAGGAATTCTCTCTCCAGTTCTGGGGATGACGCTGGAAGAAGTAGGAGCCTGTGTAGAAGGAAAAAGTAAGACCAATACGGTGTAATGAGTCGTCGATTATAATTTGATTGAAATTATATTAAAGAATGATCAGCTGAAAAAGAGAAAGTTTATGTTCACATCCTTTGATTTTCCAAATTAGATTTCCTGCGATAACTTGATTTTAAGATAAATCTGCATCAGACTTTTGACACGCAATACTTGACTAAATAGATTGACTTCTTCCGGTATTCTACGAGTTTTTCCCACAAACGGCACCAAAATCCTAATATTAAGGAAACATTGTTGAAATTTCACATTTAGCTTCCACGCTGCTTTGGTTTTCCTTCCTACATGGTTTAATGCATGGTTTGACTGATAAATGTGTTGCCACTTGAACGGCCGTTTATTTTTTCAGCATAAGAAGTATTTTTTTTCGGCGACCGACCACCCACATTCTAAAAAACCATGGAGGTCTAAACTGCTTATTCACATACACATTGCACTGGCGAGAACAGCCAGCGCCGTCAAGATGACGTCAGCAATCCTTGGTAGCGCCACCACCGTCAGAAACCCAAGCAGACCACCCGTTGTAACCACTGAGACGAGCAGACCAAGCCCCGTGGCCCTGGGTGGCGGGGTGGGGGTTGGGGAAAGGACGAAACAAATCAAAGAGCATTACATCGCGCCGGTATAAAATTTTTTTTATGCATTTTAAAGATTTGCTCGTTTAGCCTCGGGAAAGCTTAGGCTACTGTCTGTTGGAGCAGATTTAACAGCAGGTCCTCTACGGTTTGATTGGGACTCACACAAACACCGCTTACTGCCAAGATGAGATTTATATTGTAAACCCAGCCAAGGACGATAGCCACTGAAGTAACCGACTCATATTCCAACTTGCAATGAGCCTGGAGAGATATGCTTCGTGTATGTCCCACGCACGAATGGCGTCGGGCTGAATTTTTTCCTTGTGGCAAGGTTCCTTCAGTTGGAAATAATCCCACTATAGGCCAAGTAGCCATTAAACACATATGCTGGTTGAAGTAGAGTGGTAACAATAACCACTTGGTCAAAATAATTTGACAAACAAAATGTGACAAGAATTGACCTGATCGTCCTTTCTATAGGACTGAATGAAATAGCACGAAGACCGTCTTTTTTCAAAGGAATATCGCCCATGTTGAAGAAACTACATCCAGTCTGAATGATAACATTCAGTTTGAAGTGTTGAGACCGTACAAGTGCATCATTGGAATATCGCTTTCATTGGAATAAATTTGCATAAATAAACGCCAAGTAATTAATATTCCTTTGCTGAGATCGGAGTCTTTTTGTATTTTGGTTCTAACACTTCTGAAGGCTTCTGCTTTCTCAAGCAGTCAGACAGACGTGCGCTTCTCTGCCCTTCATTTTGCCATTTTGCTAGCCTGTCATGGTTACCTTTTATGGGTTGGGAATGACATCGTGGCCTGGACGGTGAGGGCGCTCCAGGCCGTGAACCCGCCAAACTGGAGAGCGAAGAGATGCGCAGCCGCAGTCCAGCCGGTCAACGGAAAGAATCCGAAAAGAATAGTCACTGCGGTGACGAGAGCGCCACACACTGGGAATGAGGAACAAGCAAGAGTGGTATGAGACGTGGGCCAATGTGTGATTCTAGCATCTGGCGTAATTATGGGTTTTGTTTCCCAGTGGTTCTACGCTATAGCCTTGACTTTCATGGTAGGAGGCACAAACGACCAGAATTCCCTTGAAATGAGCCCATCCATATTTGAATCGGTTATTTTCGACCTCTATTAAGTTTGGCATCGGTCATCGATATATGGGTATAGAGAACATTCGGACCATTTGATTTCTTTTCTATTAAATAGATATGTCGATGTTGCATGAAAATTAATTCATAAGATTTAAGAAAGGACTCCTCAAAGTAACATAATACAGGAACAAGGACACCGGACAATACCGCAGGGTTAAAGACAAGATTTTGAGACTTTAAACAAAAAGGAACGTTTGGTAGCAATAAATGGTACAGGTCTTGCCAAGTATTGTGGGCAGATTTAGGGTCCAGGTACAAACAGGTTCTTGATGTGCGAGAAGCTTTTAGATGCTAACTTATTTTAACAATAAATTAAAAACAATGCTGATCATTTCATAAGATAATGACACACAGTAAAGATACTTCTCTAGCGCGTTAAGAATCTGGACGTCATGTGAAATCACGACCATTCCATCGCCCGGAGAAATAAATTATGGCCAATTTTACCGATATTATTCCAATCTCGCATTTCAGATAAGAGAATCGCTTTTAATCTGTATTTCAGTCGACTTACTGAATAGCCGCCATTGTTCAATTACCCTGGTAATGAAAACCGACAGAAGGAGACCAAGTAAGCCTCCACACTGCCCGAACAATATCCGCCAGTACGCAAGGGCAGGGGCGAAGGGCACGTCCACTGAGCAGCCCCGGTTCCGCACCCCGCCGGCTACCCCGGCCCCCGGCGGCGGTGCCAGGCTGGAGTTCACCGGCTCCGTCCCGCCCACGAACTGGCGGGGCTGGAAGTCCGTTTTGCCGAACCGCGTGTCCAGGAAGCGACAGTGGGTGAAAAGCGTGGCCTCGCTGACGACTCCCTCAAAGACACAGGCGGTGAAGGTGCAGCCGGTGTACGACAGGTCTCGGAGGTAGATGTCTCGGAAAGAGACGCTGTCAAATGTTGTGTTGATGAAAGTCTGCCTCTCCAGGGATTCTGTGAATGTCTCGTGACTGAAAGTAGCATTTCTGATGATGCTTGCGTTATAACTAAGCCCATCCGCGATGATGAAATCAGACATCCAAAGGGTCCAAGCACAATTCCTGAAAGAATAGGGAAATCAAAATTTTGATAAGCTTGCCGCATTGAAACTGTTCAGTTTTCTTGTAACTTGGCTTTGAATTCACGGTCAGATTTAGCCTATCAGTGCCTATTTGATCATATCCTTTTCACAATAACCAATGAGGTTCCCTCAAGTAGGCCCTGCCTATGTTTGTACTTCCTTCTTAACTCTTCTCTCAAAAAGATGCTTGGTAAAAGATTAAGTTAATCAAATTATTTTTCCCAAAGAATGCTTGCACGCGACTTATTTGTATGTTAAACCCTTATGCCGCTCATGGTAAGACTTGCCAATCTTGAACGCCCCGATTCACATATCACTGAATGTCAGTCGGTTCTCGGTTGCGAAAGTGACTCTTCACGCCACGAGCTATGTCGCCATATGATCATCAAGTGGTCGAGGGTAACATGGAGTTCGAACACAAACGAACAGAAGGCGCTTCGTAAGCAGTGAAAAAGTAACGGTCATGTTGTCACAGCAATTTCGAACAAAACACCTTGGCATTTTCGAGCAGCAATTCAACCGAGATGAAACATTGACTCGCAGATGTGACACTAACCATACGTAATCAATTGGATTTTCCGCCATGTCAAAGTGCAATGTTCCCTATGTGCTCGAGTTTCAGCAGTGTTTTTATTCGATAAAGATTTTTCAAATCTAATTTAAAAACTTCATTCTGGGAGGACACTAACGCTTACTTTGAACATGACGCCAAGTGCTTGCACAAAGCCTCAACGCATTACGAAATTACAAAGTTCTCGACAGTGCGGGTGGGAACGAAACAGAACGTGTGAACATGGTGCTCGAAGGCGCCCTCGGATGCTATTAAAGGGAAAGCATATTAGTAAGTGGAGTGCCCTTTGGTGCTATTTCCCGTCTTCCAAGTTCAGATTGGCTCCATCAAAAAATAATTTCATGAATCTGTGCACATTCTGTCGTTGAATGACTATGAGTAAAATCCTTGCCGGGCTCACGAACCACTACCTGGAAGGACAGTGTCTTTTATGGGTGCAGTGTCTCAATTGAAGGAATATTCTCCGCCAGGACGAAGCGCGCAAAAAGTACCCCCGGAGATTGTTTCGAAAAGAGGGGTCTGTTTGGGCCTAGAAATAGTGGGATTGTGTCAGTATGGCCCAGGATCATCTCTGTAGATTCAGGGGCACCCATCCGGGGGCAAAGTAGACAAAAATGGGATTGAAAATTAGTCAGAAGAGCCCGAGGAAGGTGAGGGATGTCATTTGGAAAATGGCCGCTGGGAAGACTTGGCAACATTCACTTTTTGGGGGGTGAGTTTGTTTTGGGCGGATAATTGAATAATTCATTGGTTAACCTACTAAAAATTGAAAATCAAATGAAATTTGAAGGACCAAACAACACATTGTTTTTTGTTTGAGAGGCCTCAGGGACTTCAGTTGCCTGCCATGGGGCTCCAAACTTGGTTGATTTTACATTATTTTCAATGGAGCTTGAATTAATTCAGAGCACCCTTATTTGCACTCGTGAGTAGGTTAATAAGAGCGCCCTTTGCCGTTTCCAGGTTGAGTACATACCCGAATGCAAAGCAAAAGGCGCCGGTCGTCATGACGAAGGTTGTCTTATCCAAGATGGCCGTTACGTTCTTGGCACACTGTTTGGAGAAATTAAAACAGTGAAATCAGAAATGAAAAACTAATCTGGATACCTTTGTTACATTTAATGGGAGGGGGTCGGCAAATCCTTTCCAAAGAAAAATCATCATTAGCACTCCTCAAATTATCAAAAAATACTGTTACAGCTTAAGAGGTAGCGTCTGTCCAGAGGCAATGTGGCCTGGTTGGCCAGCGTTTATCTCTGGTTTTCTTGGCAAGACACTTCTGAGGATGTTTCTGTCCTCCGATGGGATGATAGTTCATCACAGATTATTCGCCAGCTAATGCTGGTATCTAATCCTGGTGAACTCGGAGAGAGGGAAGCACAGGTAAAGTGATTTGCCCAAGGCAACAGCGAATGGAAGCAACTAGATTCGAACTGCTGTCCTTCTGTTCATGAGTCACGAGCTCTTACAACTTTAAGGTCACACTCCCCTGCATCCCTACTGCAAAACAAGCAAACGGGAGCTCAATCATATCAGTACCCCGTCCTTCGAAGACTTAATTACGTAAGCCTCACGCCGTGTTCGAAACGGATTTCCAGAGCTACGGTTATACATGCATAGGTCTATTGTCTGCGCGTCTCCACTCATTTCCAGTGAAGTGAAGACCTAGACCTAGCTCTAGATAACAGATTCAGATGCAGCCTAAGTCTATATAACTTTTCACTCTTTCTTGACATGAATCTTTTGCTATGACAATCTGATTCGTTGCTCTAAGGCCAGTTATTCATCCGTCTTCTGCATTCAGGTTACTGAAGAAAGAAGGCGACTCCATAGCAGATAGATAAATATGTGCCAGCGTACCTGATAGAGTGGTCTCATGCAGCTCTGGAGAGTGGTGCTCGGAGCGTGTTCCTGCCGGTCTCTGCTGTGCCGCTTTAGACGATATAATCCACTAGCCTGAATCGAATTTATATCAAATTATCAAAAATTGCAGTTAAATACTAAGTGCCCTCCTGCAAATTGAACCTGGATAAGTCTGGGAACTAGTCAAAGACTGCTTCCCATGTGCTAAACTCTCAGCTTTGAAAGTTGATAAAAGGTGAATTATCCTTACTCTGTCTTTGAACATTTCAAGTCCTGCTTCACCGTGGTTGAACGTGTAAACCTTCCCCAACGCTTGGATCGCTTTGGCCCACAGCCTTTTCTGCAAGCAGAAAGATAAAAAGAAGGGAGAAAGTATTGATCAAAAGTAGTAAAGTTGCCAAAACCCCAAAATGTCTCATAACTCTACGATTTACGTGGTGTCTTATAAGATTTTACCCCGCTCCATACTTTCTGAAATCTATTTCATTAGGCTAGGCCTTAGATATAAGGTAAAACAACACTGCCGGTTGTAGTTTGAACGTAGTTCGAAACAATCAAAATATCTGCGGATACATGTACTTTGCATTCAATTTTTGACCGTTAGCTGAAAATGTATATCCTTTACCTCGTACCCAAGGCCTCTACAGGGGCGGGGATTCAGTTAGCACACTTGTCTGCCAATGGGCTACGAGCTGGCTCAAGAGAGGGCGCAATTTTCCCAGCAACGGGGGCGCCTTTGCGCATGATTCACGAACGACTATGAAACGCAAGCTCAAGGCCGTTTTCCAAGGCCATTTTACAAACTCAACTTCGTCTCCGTCTCAGGCTTCATTTCCAAAACCAATCCCGAAGCCGAAGTTGAGTATTGGAAAACGGCCCAATACTCAACTTCGGCTCCGTCTCAGGCTTCACCTGTTTTTTAACTAGCTGACTTTGAAGCTGTAAGCGCAGTAATTAGTCTAATAGTGTCACAAAACATCAAATAAGATGCAAGAGAACCAAACATTACAGTAATCCTATTTAATGTCAACACTTCAGGCCCACAATCGGGGATTGGTTTCGGGGACGAACCCTGAGACGGAGACGAAGTTGAGTATTGGAAAACGGCCTTGCAGTTGCATCGCTACCAACAAAATGAACACACCCGACCAACATGGCTCTTTTTAACCGATGCGGATTGACGTTTGCAGAGGTCCTGTATCGATGAAATAAGCTCGATAGTTCTTTCTTTACCTCAAGCAAGAGATATGGGCTTCTTGGGAGGATGGCCGCGGCGAGTAGCATTGCCGACGCCACTAGCAGGACGGAGAGCACTAGGCAGAAGATGCGCCAGTTGGCGAAGGAACTTGGAGAGAAATCTCCGGAGGAGACTTCGAAAAGAAAACAAGGTGGTAACGATTATGATTTAACAACAAAGATGAAAATTTAAATCATCAACGTCAAGATATAAACCCTCAACATTTAGCCAGGCAGATTTTACTTTGCAAAGAAGTCCTCGTGGCCAGCGCAACACAGCCTGGCCCCACGGAGCTGTTGTAGGGTAGTTTTCACAGCACTCATACTGCACAGTGGTAGTGTGAAGACTTTGAAGATGATTATGATGAAGATTAAAATCCTGGAGCTTGTCTGTATCATGACGATTCAGTGACGGTTGACTAATCACGTTAAGCAGGCAAAAGTCTTGTTTGTGGTTGGCACGTGCGAGCAAAAACGAGACAATCTGAGACAAACGGCGAAAAGGACAATCCGTTTTATTTTTTCAGGAAAAAAAGTTTCTTTGCTCGGCTTACCGCGTTCGGCGACGCTGGAGGTGAAGGCAGGCGTCACAAGAGGTACGAACATGGCTCCTAAGACCGTGAAAATGAGCAGGGCACATGTTGTCTTCTGGGCCATTCGTCTCGGCAGGAACTCCATCGCGTAGGAGAAAGGGGTGGAAATGAGCCCACCAGTACTGATGAGAGGATACGTGGAATAATGGGGGAGATATCATGTTGAACTTTAAAATTTTAGATTTCGGGGATAATTTAAGCTATTGCCTCTGGACAATGGCAGAAAATGATTATTAACGAATGGAACAGAAAACCACATGTACATTTTACATATCATCCTGCTCAAACAAACTGTATAATCATCAGTCAACAAGTCGTTCCCATGATTGGATTCCATTACCTATTTTGGCTACATTTCCCTTTTTCGGAATATTTTTTAGGATTTGTTATTCCTTGACTGTAGCAGGAGAGACGATACGACTTAGGGGGCACTTCGCCATGTAATGGAAAGCAGGCGTTTGAAAGGAAGCTGGGAGAAGTCTTAGCACGCACCCTAAACTAGTAATGATAAGAAACGCGAGGAGCGCCGTGCGGCTCTGAGCCAAGGACGCTGCCATGACCGTGGACAGGCAGGTAATCCCCAAGCACACTGCGAGAGAAGTACGCCTAGAACCCAAGTCGGCTGCACAGCCCCACAAGACACTGGCAAAGACGACTCCTACGAAGACGGAGCCTCCTGGAAATTGAATAAAAGAAGCTTCGTCACTCAACTGTATAACATCTTTTTTTTAATGTGTACACGTCACGTTACTATACTCAATATCGCTTCATTTTCTTGTTTTGCTCCAAAAAAGATTTAGACTCAGTACTCATTCTTGGGAATGAAATCCTTACTTACGTAACCATCCGGTTGAAGAGTCACTGAGGCACAGGTCACGAGCGATATCGGGTAGAAGAATGCCTACAAATTCTAGCTGTGCACTGGCAAAGAACAACCCACAACCGCACATGAACAACAGTAGCACGTGGAACTTTCCAAAGCCAATAATAGTTAAAAGTTTATCCACCATTTCTTCAATCTCATCGGCTCTCTGCTGTGAGTCTCCTCGGGATGAGGAGTTTGTGCCGGCGGTACCAGTCTGATATGACGGCATAGAAACTGGCTCCTCTCTGTTAAGTTGTTTATCTCTTGAAGACACCTGCTGTCGAAAGTCGTCCTCTTGCCCACTGTCCAATTGCAACTCGATGCCATCGTCGTCCAACGCCCCAAAGCCGGACGACTGGGCACCGCGAACTATCGGTCCTCTCTGCCGCCCGCTCACCGAGAAAATCTCCTCATCTTCGTCAGAATCCTCACCCGCCGTGCTCACTATCTTATCCATATTGTATCGACTGGATGTCATGTCGGTTTAGGATGCAATGTTTCAAGCTCGCCTATATGATATGCAAGTGTCCGTAGGTTGTCAATTTTTAGGGTAGTTGTCGACATTAGCTAGCCTCGCCAATGTGTTGCACATCTGCGCACCACAATCGATGTGGCTTTTGTTGTAAATTGATTTCCAATACCATGCTGCACGGTTGATTTTATCGTCGCATGTTCGTTTGCCACAGTAAAATACTTAATAAAGGAACAGTATTCTGTGTAGCTTACTGGACAGAGGCAGAAAAACAATCCAGGAAAAACTTGAAAGATTATAAATAGGATGGGGTCCTGTTCCACAGCTCTTATTTCATTCTAATTTGGAATTTGATTGTAATTTGGAGGGGAACGATGACCCGTCTTTAAAGCAGCATATTGCCGTGATTCTGGGCAATTTTAGGACATCATGATTTTATATTTAAAAAAAAACTGGTGCAGTTGCTTAGCATCATTTCACTCCATGGGTAAAACCAATTCATCTGACAGCAACAAGGGGATTTAATCGGCTTAATTAGTGTACCGACTATGTGTCCTCGAGATGTAACGTTTAGTTTGGAGTAAAGTTTTTAAATGAAAAGAACTTACTTTGGTATTTCTATAGTTGAACAATTTCAAAAGGGACTTCGGAAGACTTCCCATTCCCCACCCCCACATACAGCCCCCCCCCCCACCGTCAGCACACGGTTTTTCACATAATGCCGCGGCCTTGATGGTGTTTCATATTGCCTATATAGCTATAGAGGGCGGGCTCTATTATAAACGCAAACAAGACGAATTTAGCCAGCGAGCTCGCAACCAACAGACTTTCTGAGGTGATATCATAGGCCTTTGAGAGAAATTGTTGAGGTAGGCCTACACAGAGTGTCTTTATCTTTTACAAATTTTGTGTCTTTTTTAATGAAAGAGTGAGAAACTGACGGTAATTTCATCTAGCCATCGATTGTCGAGGAATTTACCGCAAGGTCCAAGGAAAAGTGGTAGGCTCCGTATGCCTAGATTTATTCACGAAATACATTTGATACAGGCAGTCGACAGTGATGCTTTTTTTGTCGTCTGCTCAGCTCAGCTTGAACGTGTGTGTTGAATGTTCACATTTGTAAATGTGTATTGTGTCAAGTGAGTGGACAAACTGTGTCTCATCCAAATAGCATAAAAACTAGTTCGTGGATCCATTAATTTGCATGATTTTTAGACGTGTTAGGCAGAAAGAATTCCACGTTTTTATATCGATATACAAACATCATTTGATATGTTTGATCTGTTAGACCATGGAGGTAACAATCTTAACTTACAGGTCAGATAGGCCTAGGCCTACTTGATAAGTAAACACTTCAATAGTTTCCTTGCTAAATCTGACATTTTAGGACATGTTGCCCTTTTCTGATGGCGGATATCATCTAGGCCTACTTTGGGCCATGAGAATAGAAGTTGTAGATTTGCATCCTAACAATTTCAAAACACATGAGGCAGTTTTTCATTTTTCATTAACGCTCCTTTGGTTTTACAGCAGAAATATGCACAAGTGCCCAAGGTCACTCTCTTGCATGTTGGTGCAGTGCACAACATGACACAGCTGTGCTTCTTTGAGGTGTTTACCAAGAGACCCAAAGAGCAACTTCAGCATAGGAGGGTTAATTTCTTTCAGCCTCTAAGTACCGACACTTGTCCAGTGTTATACTGCCAAACTACTGTTAGAGGCACTCGCTGTATCCAAAGTCTATTCGTGAGTGGAATCACCTCAACCAAGACCTACGCATCTCCCCCGATGTCAAGAGTTTTAAAGCCAAGATAGAGGCCATCAACATCAAGACGCTGACTTCAAAGGCTCACTTCAATATTTAATCACGACTTTGCACATGACCCCCCCCCAACGTATGCGACAACCAGCAATGGTGTTTGTACGTGAATGGACAGATACAGATACATTTTTCAAGGACTATTTTTTTGAAATTGTTACTTAGTACTACTAGTACCGTCCTCATTTTTTTTTCAGTTTGCAGCACCTGTGGTCAACCTTGTTCAGAAACAGAAGTTGCCAGAAATACCTCTGGCAGCTAACGTACACTCAGACTCATACACCGGACCTTTATGGTAGCATGCAGTCCCTTTAGATTTGAAGGGTGAAAAGCACTCTTTCTGGGCATCAAGGACTGTAGCCATGGCAACGGACAATGGTGCAGATTTGCCTTGCCTCCCAGATGAGATCGTTCTGTACCATGTTCTGCCGCTGCTCTCCATCCGCGAAGTGATTTCGTGTAAGCTGATATGCAAGAAATGGCGCCGCCTCGTGACGAGCTACATCAAGAGGCTAAGGGTTGTTGACCTGTCACCCTGGGATTGCATGGTGACGGAGGACCTCCTCCTAGGCATTGTGAAATACGCATCCAGTGTGAGGGAGCTGAGGTGATTACTTGACGTGAATTGACGTAAATCCAGTTTTGTGTGCTAAACTAGAACCAGTCGTGGGAAAGAAATGACCAATTGCATTTTGGATGGAATGTAATTTTCACCAAGCAACTGTCTCCAGTGCTTCACCAATATCTGTGCTTAAATGGCATCATGAAATTGGCCCCTGGAGTCTATTATCGAGAAGTCATAATTTCTTGTGTTCATGAGCAAGATATAGTACAGCAATTCCTTTTAACTGTATTTCTTAGTTTCTGGAAAGAATTGCATGAGTTTGGAACACTGAGATGTTTTGCATACAGGCTGTCACAAATTTGCATAAAATCTGGTACACCAAGTTCTTTAAATTCATGTGAACATAACAATTTGAATTTTCCATTCTCCACTGCAGCTGTACCTCGTGATTCAGGGCAAGCTTTTGTTTGGTTACATAAGAGACGCCTTGCACCAATACACTGTTTTCAATGGATAAGGGCACAACGGAACCAGTCCATTCCAGAGATGGTGGTCGCTATGTAAAAATTTGCCTCGAATCATGAGGTACAGCAACTTTGTCTTTAGTCTGGGGAACTCAGATTGTTATGTTTATGTCCAATCAGAAAACTCAGTGTACCAGACTTTATTCAAATGTAACTCGTGAAAGGCTTGTTCTCTGTGCATGAAGATTAGACGGCTGTTGGCGTGCCGTGAGGGATGGAGCTGTTCTCACCATTGCCAGTGTGTGTCACAAGCTAAGAGTCTTCACTGCCTATAAATGCGGGAACTTAACAGATTTTGCTGTGGTATCGATGGCGGAGAAATGCCCTGATCTAGAGGAAGTAGACCTGAGCAGTTGCTACGGGGTGAGTCTGTACTTTGCAGTCAAGCTATCAAGTCACCATGGTCAAGTCTCAACTCACTCAAGTCAAGTCTAAAGTCACTCTGCTTTAGTTTCTAGACACTCTGTTTAAATGCCAGACGGAAGTCTTGTGATGTGTGAAGTCAGTCTGGTCAAGTATTGAAGTATCCTCAGATGCGTTTTACTCAGTCGTGGATCTATTACAAATTCCTGTCTCTTAGATAACGGATGAAGCGCTTTGTGGTTTGGCAGACCACGCCAAGAACCTGAAGGAGCTACATGTCAGCAGTGTGTATGGTGTGACAGACTTTGGTGTCAGCCAGCTGGCCTTCAAGTGCCATCACTTGCAGAGCCTCGATGTGAGTTACTGCTACAGGGTCAGCAACTTTGGGCTACAGGGCTTCTTAGATAAACAAGCAGGGCTCGCCTTGACTGAACTACGAATAAAGGATTGTGTCAAGGTAAGCTGCAGGGATGCCAAGTTTCTGCCTTGTTTCTTTTTTGTGTGCATGTAGTTGTTAGTACTTCCAACTCGCGGCACAAGACGTCATAGTAGACAGTGGATATGCTTGTCACTCTCTCGTGTCAGTGCCATGTTATGGAAGATTTGAACTTTCAGTCTGCATCATTGTGGCTTTCAACTTCCATAGGATTGAAAGTTTTCAACTTTAATAAAACCTTTGCTTAAAACCTTGACTGAAAGCCAGTTTCTAGCCTGTTAACCATACGGTTAACGCAATTTTTTTGGTCCTTTTTCACCTTACTGCGGCCAAAGCTCAGAATATGCCCCAAGACATTAATTACCATGGCGCCCTCCATTGATCATGCATAGGGGCAATGGCATGATGACTTTTTCCTTTGATTCTTCCCCTTCAAGGTCACACAACCCATCATATTTAAACTTATGCAAGCTGGTGTGGCAGTCAACAACATGTTCTGATCATCCAGAGAAGTACTGTCCATGTCTAACATTGAAGCGAGCAGGCCTGAAGGGATCCAGGTGGTTCCCTGAAGCCTAGTAGGGCGAGTACCAAGCGTGCCATACAGGACCACAGCATCACTGGTTGCCGGACTGTGGTGCACACTCCTCTTCGAAATATGGCCTAGCGACCCACAGCTTGACCCAAGTTGGTCTACAGGTGCATTGTACAGAGATTGGTGTCTAACCACAGTCACACGTCTTGCTGTGTGACTTGCATGGAGACTCTATGGAAGTATTGCCCGTGTATCTACAGCACTGGTTTTGAGTGAAATAAAATGCTAACTGATAACCCTGAACAGTGTGATAGTCAAGTACCTTTCCATGAGTTATACAACACTAGGGATAGGGGATAACCAGTGTAATCAACCCCCCCCACACTTTTTAAGTCATTTACTATGCCGTCCCTTGGCTTACACCACTGACTTCATGATCTCACCCGGGATGGAGGCCATGCATCCCCTCCACAAGAAGAAATCTCCGCCCACAGTCCCGGGATATGGTCAATGAAGAACAAGTTAACCAGCAAGTCCAAATTAAGCATGTTGTACACAGCCACTAAGCCATGGTCATCTCAAATTCTTTTTTACAGAAGCACGTCAGTTCTTGTTCAGAATAAGTACAAGGGACGGGTAATTTTTTCACAAAAATCACTTTTTCAAGACCAACTGTAACTCCAGAAAATCTTTGTTATTGAGAAGTGGTACCAAATGTGTAATAATATCTGTTTATGTTTATTTGTTTATGAAAACAAGGCTACCACATGGTGAAGAAATAATGGAAGATTGGCTTTGAAGTCTGTTCCATAAAACATTTCATAGTCTGGAATTTCCTTTTCAGAATTGTTGGCAGTATAATTGCAAGATAAATTGGTATGCATTTTATCAGGTTTGAGACATTCTTCCGAAGAGTGAATTTTAACGAAATTTTACGTCCTGGAGACAACTTTCTGTTGTAAGCTGAATTTTTATTTTTTTTTATAAATCAAAGAAATAATAACAGACGAGAAAATGTATCCTTTGTTTTGTGCCTTTCTTTGCTTGATTTGTAAATTAACAATATATTAAAAGTGAGCAATACTTGTTTATACTAATGTAAAAAATATTAAATTTAATATCGAAAATGAATTTCAGTCTACAGTTTCAAAGAGCCCATCTAATTTCCAAATATCAGTGAATATTTGCCCACCCTGAGCCATTTCTTAAAAAAAAACCAAGGCTTCCCTTGTGCTCTTATAATAATGCACGGCAAGTTTGCTATCACCTGAAATCCCGTCACAAATGTTTGCATTAGCTTCCAAATAAACCCTGGTAACGTGGAACTATCTGTGTAAATTGGCTTGCTCGATGCGTTCATTGACGGCACTGCGCAGAGTGTGTATGACTTGTCGTTGGTTGTCGCTCTTCATGATGGCGCTCCCTGATACGATCATGTTGGCCCCTGCCTGTCAGGACAAAAAGACGAAGGGGAACAAGTCCTTGCAATCTTTAGCAAAATGAAATATCAAAGGGGGGGGTGGCTTGATTGAGTCCAACTTGTGGTCTAAGGCAGCAAAATGGGATGACCATGCGATTCAAAAGCTGGGAAAGTAGGGTCAGGGTTAGACTTGTCTTGAGTCTAGGGACTAACGTAATGCTGACTCCATTTAGGATTCTTCAGTAACTTTATTTCAGGATCATCTTTTACTTACACCTAGTCTGAGTGATCTCAGGAAGTCAACCCTCCCTGACTCGACTCGTAACCTTCAATTTCACTGCCACCACTATTTATGCTGAATAACTGTGACATCCTTTTCTCCAGACTACGAGTTCATTAGTATGTGCCCCTGTGAACAACTTGGAAATATCAAATTCCACTTAGCACGAGATGACCACAATTCCAACAACCCAGATAATATTGACCAGTCTGAGGACTGACCTTTGCGACTGCATCAATGGTCGCTGGGCCCACTCCACCATCCACTTCTATGTCCAGTGACTGGTACCTGTTTCTTAGCTGCTCCACCTTAAAAAAAAACAGAGACCAACCATTGGTCAACATGTTAAGGAGCCTCTAGTGCATTTTAAAAAAATTTATTTGTGACATATTTAGCGGGATTCGAACCCCTGTCCTCTGTAACACTGTACAGATTCTCTACCATCTAAGTCATCAACCCTGTTGGTTATCTCTCAAATGATCAACATATTTGTTCATGGATACTAGAATGGGGCTACAGTGCCATCACCCGGTGGGACAGATCATGCCAAGAATCAAGATGCTAGTAACATTGCCCATGCCGGTAACCCGGGAATGACCATCAAATATCTCTCAACGGATGCCTCTTGTTTTAACAAGTCATCAAATAACCATCAAGATTTAAGAATCCTCTTATCGGCTCCCACGGAGAATTGTTCTACGTAGCTTCTGTTTAATATCGAGAAAAGATAAGAAAGATCTGATTGTAGTGTTTCAGCCGCCTCCAAAAGTCTCGCCCACGTCTGTGAGTGAAGATGAAGGTCTCTCTCTAGATTTGATTAAAAGCCATACAAATTATCTATTTCTTCTTCTGTTACCTTGGACATCATGTCTTCCATGAACTTTTGCCCTCCGAATCCTGGCTCCACCGTCATCACCAGTATCATGTCTGCATCTTCCACATAAGGGAAGACCACTTCCACGGGGGTTGCTGGCTTGATACCAATTCCTGCCTGGGTGGAGAAAAAAATGGATCCGAGTTAAGAATTACACCCACAGTAAACAAGTCACTTTCTGTGTTTTAGATTGAGAGAAAAAACGTCAGCAAAACTTATCAATGAATCGAGCTGCATCCTGAACAGATAAAAAATCCATGGGATGTTTCATTTTGGTCTTCGCAGTTCAAAGTTTGTACAGTTAAATAAAAAAAAAAAAACAATTTTGGTTGGAGCAGAGAGCAGTTAGGGACAGATTGGATGGCATGGGAAGGGAAATTTTAAAAATCTGTTTCTTCGTGGTAAGTTTTATCCAAAGAGAGGGCTTGTGGTAACACTGTGTGGATAAATCTCTTGTTGGAAGAGGTATGGTTCTGAAAAGAACCAGTGAGTGTGTACACTGGTCAAAACATCAGGTACACACAGGACGACCACAGCACACTGGTCGAAATGTCAAGTACACACTCGCCAGTTCTTATCAGAACCGTACCTCTTCGAAAAAGAGATCTATCCACATAGTATTACCACAAGCCTTCTCTTAGTCTATCTCCATCACGCAAAGCTTCAAGTTTTATCGAGTTTTATCCGGCAAATTCACAAACAGTACACTTACATGTAGAAAGGTGCTCAACGTGTTATTTCTACATGGAATAAGACGAGTCACTCAAAGATAGCCCAAAGAAAGAGGGGGGAGGAGACTAGAAAGGGTAGGAGGAGGGATGTGAACTTGAGCCAGACCTTCATGCCTGCTTCTTTGATGAGTCTGATGACATCTTTGGGTCTGTCTGTTGCCTCGATATGGAATGTGTACTGGTTGGCGCCTGCCTCTGCCATTGGTTGAATCCACTGGAAAAAAATCACAGAAAATGATCCATATACTGACATACATATGTGCAAGGTATTGTGGGAACTATACTCTGAAGTATTACCAATTCTGCCTGCTCCGCGTGTTAATGCTTTTGAATGAAATCGAATGATCCTTGAAAAGTTCATGAATCCTCACTTAATGGTTTCTTGCGATTTCTTTTCATGTCAAATAAAAACAAATGCTTTTCATGGTTACCTTCTCTGGATTTGCCACCATCATGTGCATATCTGAGGGAAACAAAAAGGATTAAGTTATATCATTATTATTATTAATAATTATTCTGGTAATGACACAAGGGATTCCTCAAAAGCTCCCTGGGCAATGTAGCTTGCAAGCCTGAGGAAACCTGTAGAGAGGAGACAGTGAGAAGCAGTTACAGTTTTAGTGGTGGGAGGAAAACCCCAGGGGAATATTCTGGGTAAAACCCACGCAATCAGGTATAGGGACTGAAAACCCAATCTACTTGTGGATTGAGCCAGGATTCGAACCTGGACTGCAGAGGTGGAAGGCAAGGAAAGAACCACTGTGCCAACCTGACTCCCCCAAGTCGCATGTAACCATTTGACATACTCGGAACATTTTACATGTATTTGTTTAGAGCTGTAAAACTCCCAGATGGAGGAAACAGGGAATGAGTGAAAACCTGTTGACTTTAACTCATTTTATTAAAAAAATGGGCCGAATGGATGATATCTTTTGGCAGAAAATCAGCTGATGTGTAACAATCTATCGTCATTTCATTTGCAAATATGTCAAGAGTTTATTCTCTCTGTTGACTCTTTGAGACCTGACATTCAATACTTGTTGCCATGCCAACCTACCAAAGAAAGCTGTCTTCACTTTCTGTCTGAGACACTGCACCATTGGGTGACCAAATGTGATGTTAGGCACAAAATTCCTGCCCCGAAAGAGGAGAAAAAAAGTAAACAAGGACAAGGTTATACACGAACTATTTGATGTAGTTGAAACTTTCTCATCAGTGAAAGAGGCCAAAAGCTCAAAATTGGTACATTCACCTGACTTCCTTGAGTTGGCATCTCTATCATGTCCACTGTATTCATGCCATTCACGTGTGCACATTCAGTTGAAACACAAATGTGATGTAATTCCAGCATCACATCAGTATGGAATTCCTAACCCCTTCCTTGGATTTTGTGAGAGGCACAGCACCACTGGCGGCGGAAGAGGGGGGCCTTCCCACTTTTTCGACTGGGGGGTCTGCCCTCGCACTTTTTGCAAGTCCTATAAATTGGTGGGGCTAAATGGATTGACCTATCAATGACTGATGCCTGATGGTCTAACAATTGGCACCCCTCCCACTTTGAAAATCGTTCCATCGTTGGTGCACAGCGCCCTCTACAGGTAATGCACAGAGTAATTAAATTCAGACTGGAGCTACACTGCAAAAGTGCTTACCCGTCCATGACGTCCAAATGCAAGTAATCTGCCCCGCTGTCAAGCACACGTTGGCACTCATCAGCCAGTGAGGAGAGGTCGGAGTTCAGAATGGAAGGTCCAATCTTACACTCGTAGTGAGCCGGCATCTTGTCCACTTTGCAGGTGTACAAATAACTCTGCAAACAAACATGTTGGTACTACTGGTAATAAAGATGAACACAGAAATTGACTGGAATGGGATTTGCACCTGCGGCATCCGGAATACCATACCGGTGCTCTATCAACTGAGCTATCCAACCCAAGTATGTTGGCAGGTTGGTGGCTCTTTAAGTTCCCATTTGTCAGTATCTTTGTTTGGGGGCACTAGCCAGAAGCCATTAACCCTGAATCACCATGTAGCCAGGGATACACCCCAATAACACGATACAACCTGCTAAGTGGTGAACAGGAATCATTCGAAGAGGATAGGCCTACAGCTTTTTCAACATGCTGGTACTCAGTTAGGCCCTATTTCCACACTGAAACACCTTTGTTGCAGTGTGAAAATTGGCAGTTTAACTTAACTGCATGATCAGACAGCAAATACAAGACAATCATCAAATATATGAATGTGCCGTCACACTGTCAGAAACTCCAAGAACTGTGGTGTGGGGTTCGTACGTCGTCCGCCGTGCTACTTCGTGGCAGCGCGGCGGCGATAGTCGAACCCAGTTCGGGGGGTAAGTGCGACACTCTCGACTCTGTCATGGACGCACTGAAATAGGAAACACAAATTTAAATATGTAAAGCGAGATGGCTCTTTGTTTTCAACATCAGTGATCTGTATAACTCACCGCTAAAACAAAAACATTCTACAAAATTTTCGCTTTAAAACGGCACGATCCTCCACTCTCTTTCTCACATAGGCCGTTTTCCAACTTAATTCGGCTCCGTCTCAGGCTTCAACTATTTTTTAACTAGCTGACTTTGAAGCTGTAAGCGCACTAATTAGTTTAATAGTGCCACGAAACATCAAATAAGATGCAAGAGAGCCAGAAATTAAAGTAATCCAATTTGATCTAAACGCTTCAGGCCCACAATCGGGGATTGATTTTGGGAACGAAGCCTGAGATGGAGCCCAAGTCGAGTATTGGAAAAGGCCCATAAGCGAGCATTACGGAAGTAGTTTACAGCGCCCTCTTTTGACGTATTTGCAACGAAGAACAGGATTTCTCAAACCAAGATTCCACGTCCACTGCAGGGCGTCTTTTTCGTAAATTTGGTGAACTGTTGAGGCAATATGGCTCATTGCACCAATCTTTTGCTACAGAAACAAATAAATTCAAACTCGGAATCATTATCGTTGTATTATAATTGCAAACCTTTGAAAATGAATCATTAGCCTAGGGGGAAAGCCAAAGTGGAGACGAAGCTAGGATTCTGAAAATAGTGCTGACAGCATCTCGGCTTTGCACAGGGACATCGATCCTCACATGCACCAACATAGTTGTCGACGTGGGTTTCTTATACTATCATCTGTGATCATAAGAACGGTTAGGCTTGAAAAGGACTTAAAATCTAAATACAAAGTCTTGTGAATCATGTACGTTTAGTTAATTGGAATGTTTCTTCGGTGATCACGTTGGGTCTTGTACCTCTGTAACTTTTCTATAATCATTCCCAAGAACTTTAATGAAGTACGAAATAAAGGAAGAGCAAGTGGGAGGGCTGGCTATCAAGGCTGTCTTGATTGATTTGACCACCAGTTACTCCTAAACCTCCAGAAACGCTTTGACCGCGTGACTTTCCAGGTCTCAGGTCTGGGGAATTGGATTTTTTTTCTAAAAATGTCTCAAAATGCCTCCGCTGTTTACACCACTGTCTTTGACCACGAGCTACCCCAACATCACGCACAAGCTACTTTTAACCACCGACTATTTTTAGACCACTGACTTTTTGAAAAACAACCAACACTTTATTCTGGAAACTGGACGACAGGTGTAAGAAGTATAATACGCTTTTTTGAGAGATGGTGAATCTGATATATTGTAAAACAATACCTGACTTTTTCAAAATTATTTAATAATCTGAAATATTTCAGAGTTATCTTGAAAACCAACATGAATCTACATCAACCTTGTTTGGGAATGATGGGTCACAGTGTATTGTTTTAAGAGAATCGTTTTTGATATTGACCCCCTTATACAGTCCTCAGCGTGCCCCCTAACTTCATCTGACAGTCAACAACTACTACCCTTCCGTCATTATAAGCTTTTGTTTACTGAAGTCATGTCACAATGTATAAGCTCCCTGGCGAGGTTCAAGACAGGCCTCGGAACTCTCTCATGACACTGAACGCTCTTTTTGTCACGTACATGGTGTCAAGCTGAGGTCATGAGAAGTCATGTCATGAGGAATGCCCCGGTGTAACCTCATTACAAACATCCGGCTCGAACGGAGACCGGAATGAAGTTTCTCACATAATACACGCAGCAAAATTGGTGGACGTGACTTTGGGGAATCCAGGGGAAAGCTCACGATTAAAATCGAATTTTTAAAAGGATATTTTTTTAAATGCTTTTCAAGTCACAGGTCAGAGATTTTGGCGATTGTCAAAATATTATTACCATTAACACACCACAAAAAAGCAGTAATTTTAGTGCACTCCGTCTACTCTTTCCTGAAGGGGTAAGGTTATTGTTACTCAAAAAGTAACAATTTCTACCGAGATAGGGCAGAGTGGGGGATGGAAGAAACGATACTATAGTGATTAATGGTTTCACCCAAACATCCAGCGGAGTCCTTCTCTCTGTATATGCTTACAAAAATCTGCAGTTTTACCTCGCAAAGGGGCCTTACAATTCTCAGAACATCCTGACGTCAGTCCGGATATTACCATCCGAAACGGTGCAGGTTTGACTATAAATATTTGGATTTTGGTCTTCCGAACCAGAGTAATCTTGAAACCGTCTAAGTTTGTATGTACGTGGCAGATTGCAATCACTGTCAACAAGTGAGTTTTCTTTTGAATCATTATTCGGAAAAATAGTAACATAGGGCCTACTGTCGGTCCCTCTGTGTACATTTTGTTGCTCCATTTTACGTCATGTTCTGGAAGCACATGTATGTAAAGGTTGAATCGAACATTAAAGAACATTGTGAGTAGAATTACTTTGGTTTGCTCTGTCGTAGTACGGTGACGTTTTTATCAACAAGTGGTAGGCAAACTAAATCTGGTCGTCAGTACAAAAAGGACATGGTAAATCACTAACCTCAACAAAAGAGTTGTTTTTATTTGTAAACAAAAGCACCTGGAAGATTCATAGGTTTGTAGCATTTATTTCAAATGACCAAAAAGACCCTCCTTCCATAGAACTAAACCCAGACCTGAATGGCGAAAGAAAGAAAAATGACACATTGAAGCCAGAGAGAATTATGTTCAAACATTTGGGAAGATTGGTATATTTAGTAAAAGACGAATTAAAAACCTCCGTGAGATTTACGTATGGTGTTATTTTCTTCTAACGAAATTTAGGATAACAATTCTGAACTTGGAAGAGTCAGGAACCAGACGGCGCAATGGCAAGATTCAGCGTGTTTGGGGTGATCTTTAGTCTGGTCGTTGCGGCGTCAGCGGAGAGTGGTGACGACAACCCTTTCGCCTTCGAGATTTATGACGATGTGACCATTGAACCGACTTACGACCCCGACAGTGGTGCAGTTGGCATCCTCGTCACAGTGGAGTACGACCAAACCTTCCATTTTTGCTTTTTATACTTCATAACTTTGTCGACATCATACAAAGTAACATCATTTTGTCGCAATATCTTAGGTTTAAGAGGTCCGTCAGTCAACCATTAAAGTCGGCCGCTTTCTCTCTCCTGGACAAGGATGGTGACGGTTTGCTGACAGTCGAGGAGTGGCGCGCTGAGAGAGGGTGCGTAGCCAACTTCATCGCGTTCCTGACGGATCTGGATGCCAATGGTAACACCACATGAATCTTTTGGGAATATTTGGCAAATGAGCTGGCTTTTGTGATGGAGTCCTGAGATGTTTTTATCAGTGATATTACTTGCTAAATTTGATCTTTGGACTGAATCGCTTTGGCTGCTTAATTGGCTTCGCCTCGTGGAAAATTTCATCAGTTATCTCGTGGTTGCATTCAAAACTTTTTGTGTGATAAAATTGCGCAATTTCATGACCTTTCATTCAAAATACGGGATTAGGGTTTGTCAAAGACCACTCATCCCCTTGTGTTAAATGCTTATTTTTTCATGACGTTTGCCATGGTATTGACTATCGTAACAAACAAACTATTGTGAAGATGAATATTTTGGTTCGTACATGATTTTGTATTTCTTTGACTTTGGTTACTTTTTAGGAGACAAGAGGATCTCTTGGGCCGAGTTCCAGTCAGTCAGACATGTCTACACCAAGTACTAAAACGCACGCGACAGATTCCAGAGTACCGCCTACATCAGGGGAAGGTTGGGAACCTTATGCGTGGACTCAGCGGCTCGATTTGAATTTCTCTCCATGCCATCCAAGAGTGCAGTGATGAGCTGATTTCTTTCAGCTAAATTGGCGATAAATCGTTTCGGGTGACTTGGCCCACAACATGTCCACCCCGCTTGCACACCAAGGCTGAACTACAATTTATGAGCGTGACTTGAAAATAAACCGCGCCCCCAAAGGAAACTGACTTCATGCATTGCACATCAACGTCTGTGACATTTCAGTGGCAGCCATGTTGCAATATCATATGGCTGTATTCGGACTGGCCGCAATGCTTTGTATTTTTGTCTTAGAACTTTGAAAAAGAAGCTGTTGACCACAAGTAAACACCACAGGATAGGCCACCGGTGTAAGGAAACTCAGCACTCATAGTACACAAGTAGAATGGAAAAGGCGCCGGCGCCGTATTTAAAGAATTGGAGAATACTGTCACGTGATAAGTAGCCATTTCTAGTTTTGGACGACAGAAAAAAATTTTGCTCCAAGTAAAAACAGAACACGGTCAGAAATGTGTGTGGAACTGAACTATTAATCATTCAAGATTTGTTTTCATTGCTAAGTCTGTTATGGTTAATAATGTATTATGTTATGTTATAATGTATTTGATATATACCTTTAGAGCAATTTTCCAACAATACTTTAATTAAAAAAATATCATGGAAACGAAACCGAAATCATTTGTCTGGATGTGCTGTATTCGATTGTCTCTGGATGTGTGAGAGTGATTTATCGATGGAGATCATTGCTGCAGACAAAAGTATCAATAATTTTCTTGCAAAAGACAAAAGAATATGATATTGTATGTGTCCAGTTAACACATTTCTCGGTTAGCGCCTTCACTGACAGGAAATATTCCCAATGGAGAAAGGGGTGTACTCATGCTACACGTCTTTCCGCGGCCAATCAAATCTGGCTATTTCTGCCCAGTGTAGGACAGCAAGACTTTTTTTTTAAATTTCACTTGTTCAAACACCACTTGGCATGATTTCCGCAGAACCTTTTGTGACAAATCTCAGTACTCTTGATTAAGCAATGATGTAAATCTATCACGAACTTAATATATGGCATTCTGTATCTACTTGCCCTTTTTCTTATTCAGAAGAAGAGATGATCTCAAGGGCCCATTTTCAGACCATCAGTGACGTCAATAAAACGAACTAAACTGCACGTAGCTAACCCCGTGATGCGAGACTTGCAAACGGCAATGATCTAGGTTCAAGTGATGTGGTGACTTCTTGGTTTCTTTTGGCTCTCATTGGAAGGATTTTGACCGGTGAATTTCGTCATCACTTCCACTTGCGCAGAAGGAATGCAAACAGGATCATTCTGAGTTTGGATCAAGGTTGAGTCAAAGCTTCTCCCGAGGTCTCAATTTCTGGGTCACCTTATTTTGTCAAATGAAATGAAAAGTCACTAGCATCCTAGAAAAGGGCACTTAACACTGAAAAAATTGGCAAGTAGAATGGATCTGATAAAATCGCAACTATCAGTTTGTTTCTTTCATTGTTCAGATCTTCTGGGCAAAGTTTTTGTCTAAAATACTAGAAACAAAGGAAAGGAGCCTCCGTTGCTCTGGGGAAATCGTGGTCTCTTGGTCCAGCGCATGGCTCATAGGAAAGGGAACGACGTGATTACAAAGTTCTCCAAGGTTGCTTCAGTATAAGGTGGGTTTTGCTTATGGCAACATTGGGTCACCAGATGGGATTCCATGTGCTGTATATCACTCGTGAGAGTTCACTGCCAATTTAAAGCAGGGAAACTTGTCAAGCAAAAATGTTGACGAAGAAGCTGAGCCCTGATTTTACAGCAGGCCCAGGACCAATTTACAGACTGAGACAATCCGTGGACAATAGTACATCAATAAAACAACCGTTTGCAAGTTTAATATCTCAAAATTCTCTTTATTTCAGTCATTTAACTTTCCACGATTTCTTGAAGGAAATTTACTCACGGTTGAGTTTGGTTTAGCTTTCCACGAAAAGCCCTGGAAACTACCCTGAGAGCCTTTGTGTAAACAATTGCAAGCAGGGGAAACCAGAAATTAATCATTACTGTTTCATATAGAGTTAAAATTATCTGTCGTTCTTTCAAAATTGTATTTATGTTGTGTTACCATGATCCTTGTACAAAATCATTCCAAGACTCGTGCGGTACGTAAAGAAATTTGGTAGGATTAGAACGATTTCACAGTAAATTGAAAGCTTCATCAAAACATTAAGAGCACTTCAGAATGAAGATTTCAAAATAAAATTTATGAAGCGATCTTCAAATCAGAAATTTTCAAAGTAAATGAAGAGAGACGGTCAAAATTTTCATACTATCGGCTAGATTTACAAGATAGTGCGCAAGTGCAAAGAACAACCAATCATGAATTTTCTTATATCACCTCTTCTCTTCGCATAAATGATTCAAAACGAAAAAAACTCTTCAGTGCTGTAAACAACTAATTATTTGAATTCGTTCCTCTTGACATCTTTGGGAAGAATGTAAAACAGAGAACACTCTACATTTTTCGGACTGTTAAAATGAATTTACCACCCCATGGCAAGCAGATGATGCTTGTGCAAACTGCCCATGTTGATTCCAAATACCCGCGGATATTTCGTAAAGATGTACTCTGGTTGCAGTTTAAGCAACGACCAATCAATCGTTATTGCTCAAGAGAAGACTGTTGTTGAGAATACGGCCATTTTAGTGGCAATTGGGTGCGAAGTCCCCGATGCAGGCGGCATACTGCATGGCGTGCATGATGTAGTTCTGTTCGTGCACGGAGTGGAAGAGATGCGACATGGGGCCGTGGGCAAAGATGGCCACGTCATCCCCAGCGTGCGCTCCAGGTACTGCAGCTATCAAGGCGCTCTGCATGTAATGGGGAGCCTCTGAAATGAATTACACACAGTCGACAAGGAAAAATGAACTCACCACAATTCGGTCGAGTGGAATTCCATCAGTTTTGCCAGATTGTTTGCTTATTTTTCTGGTAAGTGTTATGTTAATTGAAATATTATGTGCTACTCATACCGATGACTAGTTTGGTGGGTTTTTAGTAAAGAAACAAAAATTAAAATCCCAGAGAATATGACGAAAAATTCAAGAATTTTAAACTGGACATTCACGCTTGTTACCGCCATGTCTTTTGACCATCCACCCCGATATTACGTACACAGAGACTTTGTCTTTTCCAATATCACTTATATGCCAGCTTCACTCCTTTAGAAATGTTTTCGTGTTACAAAGCATCTGATCTGAAACGCTTCAGAAAGACAGAATTAGTTAAAATAGCCAGAACAACTAGATACCATTTCATTCGGTATTACTAATGGCAAAACACGATTTAATGGGATTCTCTGAAGAAAAAAAATGAACGAAGTCAGAACACCTGAGAGAAAACGATCAACAGAGTCGCAACGCTGTACCTTTTCAATGGCCAGCTCACGCTTCTTGCCGCCAAGGCCATTTGTGCGCATGCGTGCATAATTATGAATTTATTAGTGAAAAGGTCTATGCCTATGCGCGCATAATACCTTTGTAAGTGAAAAGGTCAATGAGTCTGCAATTAAATGTGATTGAGATTTGACCAATCAGATGACAGAGAGGGAAGGATCTCTGAAGATATGAGGTCGATTAACACCTGTGTACTTCCTAAAAGATAACGGGACGATTTCAGCTTACGTGTGTCGGTCTTGCTCGGGTCGGGGCGATGACTGTTTTCTTTAAACGATTTCTGGACTTCAAAACCTCCAGGCCCGATACCGTAGTTCAGGGTCGTGTAGGGCAGCCCATCGCTGAAGATAATATCAGACTTTTGCTGGTTGTAACCTGAAATTATACATAGGTTAAAAAACCAGTTGAAGGTAGGTTCGTTTGATGTCTTCAATGGGGGATCTTTTTTTCTACACATAATTACAGCCCAACACACAGGAAGCGTTAGGACAGAGCGATCAACGGCGCGGTGATGGAAATCGACAGATATCACCAAATATGGTCATAACTGTGGCGGTCCAATAGCAGAAAATGGTGTGAAACGCAGGGCGTGGTTTCTACGCCCAGCGGGCGGTCGGTCTTACCAAGGATGGGATTGCCTCTGACCGGGTATCCAGTGATGGTCAAGGTGTGGCTGTGGTCAGACGTGACGACGGTCAAGGTGTCGGTGCCTTTTGTCAGTTCCAAGGACTTCTCCACGGCCTTTTCCATACCCAGGGATTCGGTCAGAGCAAGGTGGGCGACATTGACGTGGTGGGCGTGATCGATTCTACCCCCTTCAATGAAGCAAAAATTAGTTAAATAACAATATTATCATAAAAGTAAACATTATAAAGGGGTCAGTGATATGCAGTGTCGCTGTTAATTCTGTGGTGTTACATAAAGACCTTGTTAAATCTTTACTGGACCATGTTGTTCAAGCAGGTTAAATGCAGATTTGTTTCTGGTGCAACACATGTAACATAAAGTAAAATCATCCTCAAACTAAATGAGCTCTTTCCCGTGGCTTATTTAGAAGGATTAAGGCGTATCAGTACGGAGGTCAGAAGGTAAATGGAAGTATAAATGGAAAAACCACTCCAGTTTTGACCAGTGCGATTTAGTTATGGTAAATCGGTAAGTCCATACACACACCTTCCACAAAGAGGAAATACCGCCTGCCACCCCTGGACAGCAAGCGGATGGCCTGCTCGGTCATCTCGGCCACGGTCGGTTGACCAGCCACGTTGTCCGCTTCGTAATCAATGTGGTCCGCGTTAAACAATCCTGGATTTAAGTTTTAAAAATGAAAAAAAAGTTTATCTTGATTATTTTTAGCCACTCAGCGGCAAATCTGTCGGGGAACAGCAAACTAGAATCTTCTCAACGAGTACCGGTAATTTTCTGAGAGTGAGGTTATTTTGATTGACAGAAATCTTTAGAAGGTTGGTCGAATGTTAAGATATTAATTTGGGCTTAAATAAGCTTTGGACAGAAACACAGGGCCAGAAGACACCTGCGCCCCCCAAATAGTGCATTGTTTTACATTCATTACCAAGGACGTAGTCCGTTCCCTGTACATCCAGATTTTGTAGTTCATCGAGTTTCGTGATGTACTTAGCGTTTCCTTTTGATTTGTATCTTGCTTCCCACTCTTGGATCAGGTCCAACGAGTCCTCACGCTTCCCAGAGCTGCCGCCCTCGATGTAGGAGGTGGGTCGAAACTCCCTCCATCCACCTCCCAATGCCACCTGCAGGATGCAGTTCAGGCGTAGATTTGAATAAGGGTAGGCCTACATTTTTTGTATTCAATTGAATCACTTCTGCCTTTGTGCTTGCCTACAGAATAACAACGAAATTGAAACGCTCAGATGACCCATAAAACAAGAGTGAAACTGGTACCAAAGTTTAGTCTTTTGTTCTACCACTAATCTGCAGCAAGAGGAAAACCAAATCTACTGTTTTCTTGATGCATGGTGGTAGTGTCTTTAAACTGTCTCTGAAATTGTCTTTCCATCGGCCGAGCCAGATTCTGTCCGCTGTTTTCATTGGGTAATTTCTGTCATCACACGAAGTCATATCGTTTGGGGAATCGCACCCCCCGTTGTGTGTTCTGAAACTCTTGTTTTTTTTTCTTATTTCATCATCTGCAGAGATGCAAGAACTTTACTCACGTCAATGTCCATCTCACTTCGAACGAACTGTTTAGCGATGTCATCGCAACTGGTCCCGTCAGTGTCGTGTTCCCAGTGACGGTACGGGACGTGAGCGTACAGGCCAGCCGGCGAAGCGTGCGTGATACGGGTGGTTGTCACAAAGCCAACCGCCATCCCTGAGTAAAGAAATTGTGACCAGCTCAAGTGTGCCAGTTGTTGTTTGTTTAATGGTTTTTGAAAATTTGTAAAGATCGTTAAAATTCTCCCAAAATTTTGAGGTGTGGACAAACATTTCGCAGCAATTTTCATGCACTTTCGAACCAAACTTGAAATCACATTCGGTGGGGATTCGAGTTCTGCTATAACCTAGGAATTGTTTACCTGCTTCCTTGGCGACTTTGAGGATGGAGGACACCTCTCTACCAGCAGCGGTGTCGCAATTGCGGTACAAGGCGCGACCATCTAGTCCAATGACTCCCTTCTTGGTCTTGACTCCCGTGAGATAAGCCGTGGCAGTCCCGGCAGAGTCTGGCACTTGGTGATCAGTATTGTAAGTCTGACGAGGTGGAAAGACAAAAAACGATACCAAGCTTATTAAATTCTCATTACAACGGTCAAATGAATTATTTATTCGCTCCGTGCTATGAAAAGACTTCCTTATTCTTTTTTCAAATTGTTACAAATAATGAACTATTTAACGGCATATTCCATTAGCATGCAGGATATCCATTACCAGTTTGTCACATGAAATGGGGAGGTAATTTGGGGTTCCATTTCTAACCTTGGACAGACCGATGTGAGGGAACGCCTCGTAAGACAGCACCGTCTCTTCTCCCGGATTCCCTGCATTCTGACCTTTCAAGATGCGCGTGCTGACCACAGTGGATATACTCATCCCGTCACCCAGGAACATTATCACGTTGTGGGCGATTTTCTTGTTCTGTTTGGCGTCGTCCAGGGCCTTATGAAGGCTTTCGTAGGCCTGTCTCCTCCAGTGCTCCGGATAGTCAGTGGCTAGTGACATTAAATTGGATTGGCGATAATGTCAATGTCGGCTGCAATACTTGGAATTTTAAGAAGGGAAATTTTGTCAAGGTAAAGCAGTCAGTGTTGTTGGTGCAAACTTGCCACGTGGACGTCAGTTAATATAGCATCAGTGACGCGCCTTTGATAAATGTTTGCTGCCACCAAGAGTCTGGAAGAGGCTTCATTTGGCATGCGCCTCATACATCCACTTCCGCTGATATTTTCGTGTCTTGAAAAGACCCCGTAATGGATATGGTGGATTTGCACGACTGACAGACCCCACGTTTCCCTATGTAACTGTTCGTTTGCTTAAAAATACCTGAGAATTTTCTATTCACAGAAATGGTGTATGCAGTTGCATGAACTTTGGACGGCAATGTCTTTGGGTGAGCCTATGAGGGCGCTCTGCAAAGCAGCAAGTAACACGTGGAGGTGTCATGAAAGGTTGCTATAATCTTTCCAGTCGTGCAGTCAACTTTGCAATGCCCAGTGTGTGTATTAAGATTATGCGCGTGCGCGTTGTGGAAATGTCACCGTAAAATGCGCAGACACCTCCTCAGGAGTAAATTCGTACGCTGTCGAGTTTCACAGTAGAAAGATCACTAGACAACCCAGAGAAAAAACCTAGAGACACGGGGCAGATTCGTTGTACTCGTAGGGTCTGGACTAGAAAATGAACCAGGCCCGCGATGGTGACTGTGGGCTTCATACACGCATTAGACACCCACGCCAGCCTATCATGCTTTGATCTCGATAAAAAAAAATGATTCTCACCTATGAGAGCTGGTTTCTTGCAAACGTAGTAGAATTCTTTGTCGCATTCCACATTGTTCCAAGTTTCTGCATATTTGTCGCCACCGGTAATTGCGCAGAGGTTGTTATCTAAATCGTTTGGTTGACCAGGATTCCAACTTTCAAAGTTCCTCTGTCATTTTGACGTAAAGGAAAGTATATCCTCGGTGACTGAATATAATCAACTAAGAAGATCTCGAAGTCAACCTTTTTTAATTGTGCAAGTTATAAAGCATGAAACACCAATGGTGTAAGTTTGAATGGGGAGGGGAATTTTGGGAGCCCTCATTTTCGGGGGGGGGGGCGCTCAGTGGGTTCGTTCACGGTGTACAATCACTAGATTGTGTCCCCCTCTTTTTTTGAGTGAGGCACGGAGGAGACAAGGCTACATACCTCGAGCTGTCCCTCCTAGTTACGCTATTGTCACGGTGATACAAAGCAAAAGCTTTAGAATACTTACACTGGGATTTTACCCCAAAAATCACCAAAATATGTACATGTATTTCCAAATAGAAACTAAAGAAATGGAATTGGAAAGAGGGGAAATAAGACTGGAATGAAACCTCCATAATCTTCAAAAAGTACAGGCCACTTTGAAAGAAACTCGAAGTGTGTGTGAAAAGTCGATGTATACCTTGCCGATGAGTTCACCTCAGTTAAGGTGTAAGGTTAATTAGCCTATTATGAGGTAAATGATGAACACAATAGGAGGGTGCTCTTTGGTTTGGGAAAGTTCTTTTGCGTTTATTCCGATTTCACCCACTTTGGAGGTATCCTCCAATAATTCTTGTCTCCGCCATGTTTCAAGAGGGCTAATCGGCTCTTTTATTTCTCAGGTTATATGCACGTGGGGAAATTAGTCGCAGACTCACATAATTATGAGTTTGACTAGCGTCTGCATCGTTCTAAGGGGCAATATCTTCTTGGCCGATCAAACGTGCCGTTCCTTACCTCGGAGAAATCACTCCACCTGAACTGGCCTTGGAACGAATCCCAGATGTACCCGATCCAGAATTTAGTAGCGCCGAAGTTCTCTGTCAAAATAGTCAACGGGTAAATGAAGGCTTTGTGAAACTTTGGATTTCTGTCGATATAAAAGCACGACCCAGTGGGCAGAACGTCCAAGAGGCGATTTTTGCTTTTATTAGTAGTATTTTTTGTTACGTACAACACGCTGGGGAAACTTGACTTGAATAAAGGCTGCAATCATTGCTCTCGAGATTTTTTTTCAAGAGAAGTAAATTCCGACATTTCATCGGAGGAAGCTTCCACGAAGCGTGAAGACTATCCCCTCTTAAAAACATAACAACTGCTCATTATAAAAAAAATTCTCGTAGACATTTAGTTATACGATTTATAGCATCTGGATCGTATATAAATACGACGCTCCTGTTGTCTTACTTTAAAAATGATCACAGAAAAAATAGGCCTATGACTCCCCCAAGAGTTCAAAATACGCACGTTTCAGGAACAACTGTTCTTTATAGCTGCCAATGCTGACAACTGCCGCCCCTTCCTTCGCGCAGTTTTCGTGGGACTCCAGCCACTCCACATCCGTCTTGTAAAGTTTGTAGCAGTAGTCACCGAATGATATCCAGTCACTGTCACAGCCTGAGGGAAATCAATCAATACTCATGATGATTATTGTGCTACTGGGAGTGTACCCGAAGGACTAGTTTCGATTCGTTTTCGAGAAAGGAAAACCCCGTGCAAGGACGAGAATAATGCATTCAGCTATTTTTATCTCTCTCTTTTGATCTCAGTTTTAAATTCTTCCAATTTAACATTTGAGTCGTTTTCGTTTTTAAATTGTCCTTTGTTTCATGTTGAAAAGAAGAGAGCACCGTAAGGTGTTGTTATGTGGTGCTCTGGTGTTGAAAACAATAAACATTTTATAGTGTTTTGTGGTAAGACTGTAGCCTTGTTCGATATGTTGACGATTTGGGGCCAACCAAATACGCTCTTCAGAGATATTCGCTTGAACAGATTTGATATAAGAGTCATTTCTAGATTTCTGCCACAAAAAGTTTGGAGAAAAATGTTGGAATGTACTCACCTGCCACACAGTAGTGAGTGGACGCCGCTAGCAGCAGGACAGTCAGAAGCCTCAGACGCCCCATGGTGCTTGAAGAAATCTCGCCTCGGATGGTTAGCAGGGAGAGAGAGAGGCAAGGATTATGTGTGCTTTCACGAGACCAACAGCTATGCCACACCACCAACCGAACCCACGGCCTTTTTATTGGCTATTGGTTCTTTTGAAAAACAATAGATCCAGCTCACCTTTGTTGGTTTAGGAGTGGAGAAAACAAAGTGAGTGCTTGATAAGCCTCTTTAAAGAATGCAATGGAGACATAACATCTGGTGATGATCCTTTGAATCGTAGCATTTTTTTTTCTTTTCCTAAAGGTTATTTCACAATATCATATCTTTCAGCGGCTTTTTGAATGATCACTACTCGTTAAGTAAAGTAAATAAATAACCATTTAATAACACCTCACTACAAATTCTTTATCGTGATTGACAAAGAGCCAGTCACATGATATTCTCTATTTTAGCCCGGTGCGACTATAACCGCAGCAAGCAAAGTAGGCCCACGCGTGGCCATCGGGGTTGCTTGCAAATTGTGCTGGCGCGGCGCGCCGTCGCGTGCGAAGAACTTGCGCAACAGAGCTCGGTTCATATATTTTGTGAAGATGTAGTTTAGTAAAGGGCTGCTGCATTTTTAACAAATTTCCTCGCCAAATTGACGTATTTGTATATGTAGTTAGACCAGATTAATCAATTATAGCTAAAATCAAGCAAAATACGTGGGGACAATTTTATAAAACAAACATCGACTGCTTTATCTTCTGGTATAATAAAACTAGCTTCCCTCGGGGATCCATGGAGCATTCCATTTTTCATGTGGCGAAATAGTCAATATTTGTATAATATCATGACTTTTTAATATTATCAGATTATAAGCAGATGTTCAGTGATAGGTTTGTGATTATCAAACATTTACATTTCAAGATATCTTCTTTTCTCTTCACTATTTGACGCCGTTATGAAAGTGTTTGCCCTTAACTGTTTTTTTCACTTTTCAAGAAAGCTGTTGCGTCAGCCATTGAAGTAAGTGGTTGCAAATTGTGTTTTTTAATCTTTGTACGAACGTCGACACAAAATGTTTCTTTCAGTGGATCGTAATTTTTATCGCTTCGGTTTTACGCACCTGGCAAGAAAAGATAGCTCTCATAAATTTTCTAATTTGCTTAAATTTCAAACTATTAAACTGATGTGTTGATAAAACTTTGTGATCCGCAGAACCAACGAGCCCTGCCCGTCGAAGTTGTAACACCATAAACATATGAGGGGTGCTGCGTTGCTGTTTTGGGCGCTGCCGTGTGATGCTGAAAGCATTAGATGGTTATGGAATGGAATAAATAATGAATATTATAGGCAAAGTGTGGTTGTATACCCTGTCAAGAGCATAATAACCCCCCCAAAAAAGAGAAAGTATATGTAAATACATAGTTATTTTTAGTGATACAACAGCTATGGGTTATGATCACCCATTGGTATGGGATTTGTTTCAGTGGAAGGGTTCATAGTAAATTTGCGAGGAAATGGGATAAGTTGGGCGCATCGTGAACGGTGCACCATACAATTTCAGACATCTCTCTCAAATAAAGTTTTTTATTCGGTCTGAAGGGCTATATGGTTACATGAGGAGCACACAATTCTGTCCGAGCTCTTTTCACTTTCTGATTTGGTTTCAGATGAAACATTGCAACGGTGAACCATGAAAAAAAAAGAAAAAGATGTGAGTGACTCTCCCTTTTTCAGTTGAGGTGGTGTATGTTTGTCTCACTTGTGGTATGTGGGACACAGACATACGAGTCTACTTGTAGTCCATGTTCCACCGGAGGGAGAGAGATCCTTGTTAAATTGTCAAGTATGGTGCACGGTAGGCCTAAACTTAGAAGTAGAACACACACCGTGTGAGGACTCAAGACAGTTACGCCATCCTATCCTGGAGGAAATAGGGGATCATGGAAACCAAGGACGAATCGGGACAGACGCGGGTGGTTACGATCTGTTCAGACCATATTTGAAGAATTTCAAACTCTGCAATTCTATACTTTTCAATACAATTCACGTCAAAACGCTAAAATGTCTCTAATTTTCACAACAGATTTGAAAACTGTTGACTTAATTGCCTGCCAAAACAATGCATCCTGTGTGTACGTGACACATAGAATATCACATTGACATAAATAATCCACGGGATCTGTGTCTTTTTTTCATATTATGCAGTGCATCTTTGGGGAGTCAGTCTCGTACAAAAACCAGGCATCGGTAGAGGGTTTTACCTGACAATTAACGATACCTCAGTGTTTGTTACACAAAAGACACTGTTGTGCTGAAGAAACTCTCGGGAATTAATCCCCCCCCCAAAAAAACAAAGAATGAATGAAAAGAAAAACATGCCTGTGATATCAGATGCTAGCTTAGGAACGAAACATGTTTAGAGATTCCAACCTTGCTGAATGATGAGAGAGCCCGAGGTTATCGAGAATAATTGTCAAAAAGTGTAACATTGTGCATGTATTTGCAAAGTGTCTAGCGCCCTCTAGCTCTGTAATTTTGTAAGCGTAATCAAAATGGCGACCAGCAGAGGGCTTCACGCACGCACGGATTTGCAAGTTCCAAACGGTATTTATTAGTTCTATTTTACATACAGGTTGTACGAATTACGATTCTCCCACAAATAGATTTAAGCACATTAATCAAATTAGACACACATGTACATCACAGCGTGAGTTCAGTATTAGGACGCGATGACGTTGATTGAATTCAATTCATCGTCCATTCTCGAACATGTTGATAGCAGGCTAGGCCTGAAATGAAATCGAAGTGAAGGGCCAGCGGAGAGATTTTACTTTAATACCTCCAATTTTTTGCCTTTTTTGCTGCACCATAGCTCAAACAGACATTTGGACATACAAAAGATTGCCATTTAAACTGAGCTAGGTCTAAATATGGATTTGCATAATTTAAAAGGCGTTGGGACCTGTGGGTGATGGACGCAAATCTACTTCTTTTCTCAGAAATAAGCATAATAAAAGTATACCTATCCATGATATCAGTTTGTGTTTTTTTTTGGAAAAGCGTAACCAGTGATATGAGGTATATAGGCATTTATTTTAGTGGCCGGGTATTTATCAATTTTGATGCCAATACTGACAGGGAACCCATACAATATTGTGTTATAATTACCAAATTTGCCCTCTGAAATAGATTCAGTACATGGTCTGGTGGTAATAGTAGCTAAACATGTTAAGTACAATGCTAACTTTGAGCATGGAGGTAGAATTCTACCTCCATGCTTTGAGACCCGGGCTCCATGCCTTTGCTCGACTGTCCTGGGCATTTTGTAATTTTTCCCACTTGTGCCCCCCCCCAAAAAGTGCACGATTATCCTTTTATTTATAATTGATTTCTATAATACATTACAGGATATTTCTATTTATTTTCTTGATTATAGCTCTTGAGAGAAGGTCCCAAATTGCACTAATTCTAAATTCCATTTCGTAAATATGATGTCAGCATCACCACCATCTGGTTGCTGGTGATGCTGACATCATATTTTCTTTTTTTTTCCTCAATATTTTGTTTTGAGAGAAGGTCCCAAATTGCACTAATTCTAAATTCCATCTCGTAAATATAATGTCAGCGTCACCATCAACCAGATGCAGATTTGCAGTGTTAAAATTTCTGAGGATCCAAAACACTTACAGAAGGTGTTCATGTGCAACAGCAAAATCATATCGGGATCATGGACCAGTCAAATATCAAGGATTCTGAGTACAGAGTTAAAACTTGTTTAGTAAATTTTGTTTAAATTTCATTTCTTGCAGAGCCAATCGTCTACAATGAACTCGCAATTCGTACCAACATGTCCATATTGTCGTACTGGTAAGGGTCTCGCCTGCTCTGCTGTTTAACTTGGATGTCCCACTTTGGTTTAATATGTACCAATTAAGTGTATTCCAAAAATCATTGCTTCAAAAGTGAGAAGTTGAGTACAATTGGAACATTTCATAGGTGTGCCCACAGTCCACGTACTTGTAAAGATGGTCCTTTTTTTCCAATTTCATTGCCTGGCTGGGAGAGAATACATGTAAGTCTGCCTGACGGAAATGGTTCTGTGATGAATCCACACTTCCTTCTGAAATGGTTCTCTTTCTTGCCCTGTCATTTGCCTGTCCTGCTTGTACCACTCTCATTTGTCTATTTAAAACAGGAATTAAACATACTCAACAAAATCCAAGGGAATATTGAATTACAAGAGATGTTCATGAAAGTATTGACCGTGTTTCATTCATCCTGCTGAGCTTCCCAGTTGTTACTATTTATCAATGGCTTCATATGATTTACCAAGGTTCACAATATGCCATACTGAATAAAACTGGTAAGCTTCCTTTTAAAAACTACACATTTAAGGGTGTACATGATGACATAATAATGGCCCATTCGTGTTGAGTTCCTTGCGGTTTCTATTCATGATAAGGAACTTTTACTTGTATTAGATAGCCCAAAGCCAGTCTCCCAAAAGTTCATGGTCTCATAAGTGCGCTCACTGCTCCTTAAATATCCACCCTTTTCCTTCTGTTCTTTGGTACGACAGTCGCACCTTTGTGTCGGCCCTCTCGGGCTCATCGGCAGGGATTCTGGGATTGACGGGACTGGAAGGGTTCATTTTCTACTTCATTGTCTCGTTTGTCTTCTCCGTAAGTATTTTTCACCTTTATTTGTCCCATGTGTGATTCTTATGCTGTAACACTCCGGAATGGGGTTATTAACACACTATATATTCTATAGATAAACCATACCACATGCCCTGGATTCTGACTTTTGACTGTGATCGGGAGTTACGAATCCTAACCACTTGACTACCCCCCCTCCCTTCCACTAACAACCATAAAATCTTTACCTTACCTTTTTCCGCGATGGCTCTGGTAGCTTATGCTTTGCGTGAAGGCCGGGCGTAAATGGCAGGAATTCTTCCGTCACAGACAACCCTTGGTTACCAGCGGGCTGTTAGGAGGACTATTTGTATCCTTTCAAACGATATAAATCTCGTGCGTAGAAATGCCTCCCTATCTTCAATTGGTTGCTTTGACTCTTTGGGTGATTATAATGAGGATTCTGGTTTGCATCTGTTTGGCAAATACCGCTGAAATATTATCTTGAACCACTCCTTTCCAGCATAAAAAGGACCATTTAAATAATGTCAGTAACATGAAATTTATATATTTTGTAGCCCAACATTACAGATCAGTATAAATAATTGATATATTCAGTATTTCCCGGAAATGTTTTATTGTAACCATTAAAAAATCCAAGGGGAGGGGTTGACACCTACTGCAGACCTGCTTACCAGCGTTGCGTTGAACCAATGCCAAATAGAACAGGGTGAAGTAACTAAAATTTAGTTGCATAGATTTTGTTTTTAGACAGGTGTCACGGCAGCTGGAGATTAAATTGGGCTGCCCCTGGATTTTGGGTTTCAAAAGGGCAAATTGTCAAATTACTCCCTATCTACATAAATTGGCATTGAGTTCAGCTGATGAGACCAAGGCAATATGGGGTTGTTCTGAAAAACTGCACAATTGGATCTTTCCAAGTCTTACATGGGTAGTCACTCGTAATCCAAATTTCAGGAAAAATCTAGTTTGACATGACTTCGGTGTGCCAGTCTGAACTTGGTTTTAGTCGTGTTCTTCCATGTTGTGTAAAATGTGTGATTCATTCTTGCCTTTTTACTTTCCTTAACCTTCTTGCTTCAGACTTATGTACTGTTTTGGACGTATCCTTTTTTACTCAAATATGTTCGAGTCTGAGGAAGATGTGGGAGAGAATTGTGGGTGGGGCGTAGTGATCAATGGGAGGGGGGAACAACTTCAGAGAATAGTAAGTTATCCTGTTTAATTTACTTGCTTGGATTTGATATAATAGATCTGATCGTCTCAGTTTTGCTTATTGCCTCGTTCCAACTTATGCAGGCTTGTGCACTTGTTCCCCATTTCAAAGTCTGTGACTGTTTCCATAACTAGTTATTTTTTTGGCAGATTTCTCTACGGGATGGTCCATGTGTACTGACACCAAATCGATGAGACCATTTCAAGCATACTTCACCGGAATTAATCACAGCACAGGTATCACAGGTGGTTTCCAACATCGAGGGGAGAATTCAGTACTAGTGTTACTCTACAGATGTATGAGCGGCCTGACCCAAGACGCTTAAATTCACCTGAGTTCTCTTTTGAGTCACAAACTCTTATACCAAATGTGGCACAGTGGAAATAGGTCAGAGGTTTAATGCGCCCATCCAGATACATTTTACTGCAATACTTTGCATAATGTCAAATGGAAATTTTTTTTTTTCAAAACGAGGGAAATTTGAAGGCTTTCTCCCACAAGTGAAACTGAAGAACTCAGGAAATCTTGTCTGCGGGAAAAGTGTCTGCTCATTTATTGCTTCAGAGAACTGGGCGTAAAGTTGGTGGCTTTATTCCATGATTTTTTTGAAATCTGCAGTACCCTTGTGAAACAAAGACACGCCTCGTATCCAGATGGACTGGTGCTGATTTGTAATTTTAGGGAGGGATAAGTTATTGTTGTGATGTACCCATGAGGATGTCGAGAACAAGACATCCTGTCTGCATTGCATTATGAAAAGCACCAAAGACCATCTTGTGAGCACATGTAGGTAGCTCCAAAATGTGTCAGAGCTGCAGATTTGTATCAATCACAAACAAAAGAGCTTTTTCTGCCGTGTGAGGCACAAACCTGTATCATTTTATGTTTTACTGAAAACTATTTTTTATGACTGATAGACGGCAAGATCCTTTCTTTAAGGGTTCTCTTACCATTTGTTTCATAAATGTAGATGCATGTGAGTTGTCATCCACAGAAGTTAATCGGAAAAGTCTATAAAAATACCCATTTGTCTATCTCACAATAAGCTCTATGCATAATTTTGTAAAGAGACTGGAAAAAGGACGGTTGTTACTTGTTCTCATTTGTCAAAATCATGATGGTATTGATTTGAATGTTTTGTGAGAAATATCCCTACAAAGAAGGAAATGAGAATGATTACTCTTTCGGTACAGTTTTCAATGACGAACATAAAAAGCATAGAAATTGTTTTTAGACCAATTTGGCTTTAGTCGGTATATGGTATCTTTTACATGTGTTAATTATGTAAATGATGGACATTAAAAAAGGACGGTGCAATTTTCCAGGTAAAACAATGTGTCATGTGTGTATTGTACGTCCAGATTGTTCATGAAACATTTGATGCTGAACAGCTTAATGTGTGTCAAGGACTGAAAAGATGCACATGTCTCTCATAATGTTTATGAATATGTAAAAAATTGGTAGTTTACAATGTACACTGGAAACAAGCTAGGTTGACATTGCTGTAGCAATCCTACAGTAATTGAATATCTTTTATTAAGTAAAAGCCTGTCAAATTTATTTTTAAAATAGTCACTTTTAAAAGCACTTCATCTGAAGCGCAATTATTTCCAAATTTTTATCATTGGAGCTTTCTTTTCTTCACTGAGCTAGGAGTGACAAACTTCAAGGCTGTTGATTAAGTAATTCAGAAAATGTCATCTTCAGTAACTGAACTAGTTTCAGTCGTTAGTCATCGGCTGCACCTTTAAACTTGCCCGCATTCCAAATACCCAAACATTTTAGAAATTTTGAAATTATTTGCAAAATAAAATGTTTGGAAATTCCACAACCGTGTCAAAACACTGTCGGCAGACAGCTCGACATAATGAACTGGCAAGATTTGGGATGTATCGCATGGTTTCGCCAGAACTGCAGGTCTTTTGTCTTTCTCGTCTGTCATTACATCGAGGTCAAACTTGGACCCTTCTCACTCGACGAGGCCAGACGGACTTCATTAAGGCTGCCGGCTGGTCCGCAAACACCCCTAAAATGAATAATGGTAGAATCCAATTCGGGCGCAGCCCTCCATTTTTTAAACATTATTGCAGCAAACTTGATGCAGAATATTATTTCCATCATCTCGGTATTTTTAGTATGAATGATATTTGTTAAAATTTGACAAAAGTGGGCCAGTAAAACTTTTGGTAGACGAGTCGATTTTGTACATGTGGGGTCTCAACAGCGCGATATTTGATACTAGTGGAGATAAACTGAGCTGAAGGAATGTGGGATAGCGCGAGAGTGTGTGCCCGTGCCATACCGTTTGTATAATGTACGTGTACATATGTCTACGGCATGGTGCACGGCATGGTCTGGAACTCGGAAGGCAATGGATGAAGAGGCAACTTTGTAGCTGATATGACACTTTTCCGTCCATGAACAATCATTTCACACAGGATTCTGTAAAGGTAAGAATTTCTAGTTTCCATGGGGTGTGTTTGCCTAGCTTGGCCGATGAGTACGACGTGCAATGAGGGATCATGGAAACGTAGAATTACCGATAATCCACGGGAGAGAGGACGAACTTTCCCCTCAAGCCGTCCTCTGGAGCGTGCCCTCCCTGCTGCCGCTTTCTCGTTAATACGCGGTACGACGTGTGCATGGCAGTTAAAAGTTGAAGGCAAATGGAGGGCTGATCATCAGTAGTGGAAATAAGTGTTGTTCTTCCCCATATAATGAACTTTGTGTGGTAATATTCGGCATACATCTTGTTACTTCATGAACTGATTAATTAAGTTCAATGTTTATTTGAACATGGTTTGAACTACTTATTTGTCATGAGTGTTATGATTTTTTGGATTAGTCACTTGTAACTTGTCGTGCTTGTAGCATGTGGTAGCCCCTAAAGGGCCTAATGTGTTAAGTTTTTGAATGTAGCTCTTGGCCTAGCCTGCTGGAAGAAGCTTTAAATCATTTCAGAAAAGGTCTGAACTTCTTGAAAAGTAAGTTTGCAGTGATACAGTTTCGGCTGAAAATTGATGGAGAAACTGAACGGCATCACGAAGTTAAAAACATGCGCACATTCACTTTCTAGCCTGACAGTTTCACAGAATTATGCAAACTTTTAATTGAAAATGTCAGAGACAGAATAGTAAGGTTCCATACAATACATGAAAATCATTCATTTTCCCTTATAGTGGTTTATTTGCCATCAGAAAGTGATAACACAGCCTAAAACATCAAATGTTTCAGGGAAAGTATTGAAGCATTTTCTTAGAAAACAGTTTTTCAGACCAGTCTCGTAGGGTTTGTGCACAGGATGTTAAGTGATATGTCCAGATATGGAATTATTTTCAACAGAACTGATTGATAATAACAGGAAGACACAAATTTTGAGTTTCTCAAAGAATCTGCTGGTTCTCTTCTGTGGATTGAAATTCTAGCTGACCCTTTTTATGATGCAAGGTCATCCCATACTAGCGTGACCTCTGATGATAGGCTTTCTACAAGGGGCCCCTCACATGGATGGGGATAAATCCCCTGCTCCACCAGAGGGGGCTTTGCCCAAATTAGCATGGTCCATTATTTTCAGCTTCCTCCTGGCATGGGGCCCTGCCCGGACCCTGCCTTTTATTTCACAGGTGTCAGGGAGCAAGAAATTGAGAAAGACATTCATTGAATAGACCTGTCCTTTCTCTATGATATGACCAAGAGATCGACGAAAGTTTCATGGCAAAGCCCAGGCATTGAAGAAAGGACACAGTTGTTTCTGAATGTTTTGTGCAGATGGTTTGATTTTTAGTGATGAAACAATGGCAGTCATTTGCCATTGTGCAAAGTCAGTGGAGACTGAGCGTGTACTTTGTGCCTTAATTTTGATAAGATTGCAGTGTGTGGCAATGAACTATACGCATTATTGTGTTTGCTGAATGTAAACTGGAAGTTGATTGATCTAATGAATAGCAAGCTTGATCCAAAAATCAGCAGTGAGAAGTTGACTTCACAAATAGTCACTGCATGCTGCAGCGTGCACCAGTCCGGTGTAAGTACATGTATTTGTGTACATTTTTGTTATGACATTAGGTTCTCTACTGTTTGTGGCCCACTTGTTTCAAATAAACCCAGACGGTGGGTGAAGTTACAAACAGGCTCTACTCACTGGAGTAACCCAAATATTTATACAACAGGTGAATGGCCAGTTTCCGTTGACACTTTCAGTTTCAGCGTGCTCTCACCTTCACTGTCTGGGGTGTGTAGCACAGACTTCTGGGTATGACTTTTTCTCTTGGCCTGTCTTGATGATGTTTACTGCTGAGCTGCAGCCTAAAGCCCGGGAGCTCCAGCAGGCAAGAACAATTTGATTTGATCGTGTTATGATTTTGTTCCCTCTCAACTGCGGGTCGGTCGGGCCTGACTTTTTTTTTTCCAGTCTGGAATATTGTGTTGCCTAGTTGGTGCCTTGTTGACAAAGCTTGTTTGGCTGTGGCTGTGGCACAGCTGTTGGTGGATGATGTCACTGTGATGTCACAGTTATTTAAAGGAAAGCACTCTGTGGTGTCCTTCATGTTTTTAGGAGAAGATGGCAAGTTTTTATCACTGAGATTCTTGGTTGTTACATTGTTAGTTCAAACACTCATGTGCCTGAACTTTGAACAGCACAGTGTTCTAACTTTACAGTTGAGAACTTCAGTGCCTTTTCTAACAGATATGTTACTGTTTTTGTGTTTATACACTAGATCATGAGTTGGGTAAAGCGAGTTTGTAATTGGTTTTGTTGTATGTTGTGATGTGTAACCCTGGGTCCATGTTCGTCTGGTTTTTATCCAAGTATACTATACAGATAGCAGACTAGCTCAATTCCTTATTGAACAAGTGCGCCCATTGTTGAAAATTTGCAGTTACATGTACTTAAGGGATCCAACTAAAGCTTGCACATTACAAATCTTGTCTTATCCCCCTCTGCTGAAATATGGTCACATACCAAGTACCAGCATGCTGTAACCAGTAATTGGCAGAGGTGTTAGGGGTACCACACGTCGGCCCTTTAAAAGCAGTGAGAGCGAGCATACATGTGTGTGCCCAGGAATGAGGATCAAGGCCAGGAAAAGTATCAGAAGTAGGTGGGGAGGTCCCTGGGGCCTTGTATTTTTGGTTCCACTTCACCTCTTCTCGGTTTGTAGGGCTGTAAAAACTTCACTGGGGCCAGAGAGTCTGGAAGTAGTATTCTAATCTGGGCGACATCATTATTTATATTCAGTGGTTTTGTTTTAAGTTGCTGAATGCCATAGTAAATAAAATACGACACTACCATTTTATTATTTTTTTGTTCAAAGTGCCCTATGTTAACCCTTTTTTATCAGGATTTCAGCATACCACTACCAACATACCGACAAAATACTGTGACACTAGTTCTATCCTCCTAGCATTTGTACATTTGCTTTGGTATTTCAAGCTTCACTCTTCCTTTCTTGACTTGAAACTTTTAAAATTTGTTGTAAAGGTGCGCACAGTTTAAATTTACCGGTGGTACCCGTTTGCCCTGTCTGCTTTGCAAGTAAACAACCTTACATGTACATGTACATGCTCTGAGTTTACATGTAGGGCCTACATGTACATGTACATGGTGCCAAGGCTCTACAGTCACAATCCATAAAAAAACTCATAAAAATAAGTATTTTGGATTTGATTGGAAAGTTGTTACTTTAAAGAAGGTCACCAGAAGAAAGCACTTGTACACTGAAGGGATTTTTTTAAAGTTGTTGCTGTTATCTGCCTTAGATTTTTCCCATTCGTTGCACGTGCTTTTACCCATTTTAGCAATACAATACGCACACTGCCATTATTTTCAGGTTTGTCATGTGAAAGAATGCACAAAAGTTGAAACATTTGAAGTCTTTAACTTTATCCGTTGACATCCAGCAGTTTAATCCTTATATCCCTTGTCAGGCATGCAAGTTTTCCTTGGATCAGCTGATTGCCTCGTTTTTCACTTCATGCTCATACCATTCACGTATGTTCACCCAGCACTGTCGGTGTATCAATTTAGTTAATAAATGGGATTGTATGGGGTGGCGCCTGACAGGGGTAGCCATAATCTGGTCCTGTCTGCTGTGATGCGGCTTTGAATTTTAATAAAAAGAGGCAGCGGTGGAGAGCCGTAGCCAGTACATATTTGTGCATGCCGTAGTCTCTCATGGAGACACCACACCGCGTGTTGCCAACATTGAGTACAACATAAACCGTTGAAAATATTTCTTGTTGGGGTTTTCCTGAAGATATATCCCACATGTATTTGTAACGGATGTTTGTAGTGATACACATGATAAAGCCAAAAGTGCAAAAGTTTTTA